CACACACTCTCTTCCTCCCAGATACGTTCGAATAGGGAGGTCAGTGCTTTGCAGAGGACCTAACCTTCACCCTTAAATAGTGCAGGTGGGAAGGAATCCGAGCCAGCGGCACGAAAACGATTAAGGGCTGTGATCGCGTTTCGGATCTCGGCCTCCGACGTAGGCTCTAAACTAACCGTCCATGGCTCGTCCTGTATCACCTGAGTAGGGAGTGGTCCGGGAGCAGGGGGCCAGCTGAACTGATCTTGAAAGTGTTCCGCCCAACGAGCCATACGGCGCTGCTTATTGTGTATCAGCGCACCCGCGCTGTCTCTGATTGTCTCACTGATGTCTGGTTTTCTGGGACTAGTGGTACGATCAGCTGGAAGAGCTTGCGGTAATTGTCTACTGCTCCTGCCTCCTCCACTTCTTGAGCCTGACTGGTCCACTAGGCTTCCTTGTCAGCACGTAGGCTCCGCTTTAGTTTGCGCCTAATATCCCGTCTGGTCACATTGTGTTCAGAGCCAGCCGGGAGGTTTCTTCTAGATTCCAACAGGTTCACCGACCTCTCGGATATCCAGTGACTGGTGCGGTGACGATGGATAGTGCCACAAGCAGAGTCTCCTGCGTCGCGCATGGCGCCCGAGATCCTATTCCACTGGAGTTCAGTGTCATTAGGACAAGACAGCGGAAGTTCGTTATGCAGTGCTTCTTGATAGGCTTGCCTGACCTAGGACTGAGACAATTTCTCTGTGGCCAATCGTAGGGGACGCTTTGTGCGCCTTCCGGTAAAGTTCATGGAGAAACGACAGCGTACCAAGGCATGATCAGAGTCGACACAGGTACTCCAGTACGAGCGGCAATCCAGGATAGAACCACGCCATCTGTAACTTATGGCTATGTTGTCAATTTGGGTCCATCACTGGCCAGCTACAAGAGGACGCCAAGTAGCACTTCGGCGCCCACTATGTCTAAAAGCAGTGCTACTAAGAAACAACTGGTGCTCCGCACACAGTTGCAGCAGACGCTCACTGTTGTCAGTCCGTTTGGAGTTAAGCCCACAATTACCACCCAGCTGAGCTTCTGAATAGCTCAGACACCCTACCCGTGCGTTCATGTCCCCTGCAAGTACTATAATATCTGAACTAGTAGCACTGCGTAGTAGCGCTTTCAGTTCGTGATAGAATGTGTCCTTGACAGCATTAGAACTGCAGTCGGTGGGAGCATAAGTGGAAATCACAAACAAACAGCGTTTTGTACTACTTCGTGAATCAACCTTAGCTGATGTCGTCAAATGGGCTGCACACAAACGGCTGTTCACCGGAATCCCATCAACCAGCGATGGCACAGCCTTGGAGCTGAGAAGGATACCTACACCAGCTTGACCCGTGAGTGCTGCATCGGCGTCTCCGGATGCGTGCAACCAATAACGAGAGGATAAGCCGGGTGCAGTTAATTCAATAACCCCGTTAGGGTCATTGATCCTAGTTTCGGACACACAACACACATCAATACCCAGTGTGTCCAAGGTGCGTGCGAGTGCAGCCTGTTGACCTGTTTGCCTTAGAGCACGAACGTTGAATGTTGCCATGGAAATGGGGTAGCGTTGTCTTATAGGGGACTTTTGCCGATAGGCGTCCCATAGGTGCGGTGGGATGGTGACTGCAGATGGTACTACTCCAGTGGCACTTCGGTTGCTGTCAATTAAGCTGGGAATTATAGAATGAAGGTTAGTAATGGGGGCCGGGTTGGGAGTAAGAGAAAAGGTGGAAAAGGAAGAAGGGAGGCGTCAGCAGTAGCATGTTTTCGCTTATCCGCCCTTATGTATGCAGCAGATAAGGGGACCCTTGATAATCTGTGCGACGGCCGATGTAGGATGAAGTTTATGTTTGAAGAAAATGTCATGGTTGTATGTGGGCTGAGATACCGCCAGGGCGCCCAGACCTAGACAGGAGGACGATTAGGGTACTTATTCATAGCCTTTGGCTCAAAAGCCTGTCCGCAAGGCAACGGAGAGGTGGCAACGCCGTCCCGTTTCAAACCCCCAACCTGATGGACCAGGAGACTGAGTTTATCTGACCTCTCACCATTGACCAACATGGTAGGAGTAGCTCTCAGTGTGCCCGGAGGCATCACCCAGTATAGCACAATTAGTCAAGGAGGTACGCAAACCGTTGCACCACGTTAACGTCCAGTCTCGATGTGTCCAGCCCCTACTGAACTCGAGCGCCTTGATTGCGGTGTAAAAGATATCCGCAGTCTATTCGCCAGTCTTGATGGTACAAAACCTGCCGGACCCGACGGACTTCACTCGCTAATTTTGAAATCCTTATCGGTCATTATCTCGCCTGCCGTGACGGATCTGTTCAACAGATCGCTGTCCGAGGGCGCATTGTCAAACGACTGGAAATGCTCGGTAATGAAGCCGATTCCAAAAGGTGGTGACCCACGCAATGTGGACAGTTACCGACCGATTTGTCTCACCTCTGTTTTGACGAAGGTGCTCGAGAAGATTATGAAAAAACGTCTTCTTCAGATGCTGGAGTCGGAAGATCCCCCTGACTCTGGCCCAGCACGGTTTTATGAAGGGCGCTCGTGCATCACTAACCTGCTGTTGACGCGGCAAGAATAGTTGCAAGCCTTGAACTTGGGGAAGTCAGTGGATGTTGTCTACATTGATTTCAGTAGGGCTTTTGATAAAGTGAACCATGAGGTCCCGCTGCACAAGCTGAGGATGTGTGGTGTTTGTGGCGAACTGCACCAGGGGATTAGTGACTTCCTTCTTGGGAGAAGGTGGCGGGTTCCGGTTGATGACCACCTGACGGAATGGTATTAGTCCACTTGCGGAATACCCCAAGGAAAGGTATTGGGGCCAATTTTATTCATGTTCCGCATCAGCGAACTGCCTCAGCTTCTTCGTTCGCCCTGCGCATTATTTGCGGAGCACCTGAAGATTTGTAGGATTATTGGTTCTCCTGGCGACTGTGACGTCCTATCGCAGGACCTCGTTCGCCTATCCCGGTGGTCTGCAGAAGTTGACCTACCGGCCAACACGGTCAAGTCCTCATTTATGAGTCTGGGGAGGGGTAGTAATGGGCGTGCGTACACCCTAGCCAGCCACCCACTGAATCCCACCAGTTCCGTAAATGATCTAGGCGTACTCTCACGCTGTGATCTGAAGTCATTCGACAACACGAACAACACGCGAACGGACTACGCCTTCTTTGGGCACTTGGACGCAACTTATGCACTTAGTCTGAAGAGATTGCCACCCGTCTGTTCTCTTCCATAACAAGACCAGTGCTTGAGTACGGCTCACCCACCTATTGTTTGATCACAATAGGTGAGGCGCAGAGGCTGGAACGGGTCCAGCATGTAGCTACCCGACTCATCCCCAGTTTACAGAGTATGTGATACGAGGACCGACGTATGAGACTAGGACTTTATTCTTTGTCATATCCTCGGTTTCGAGTTGATCTCATTATGACGCACCGGATACTGCACCTGGGCCACTTCCCTATGCTGAGGCCGCCGCTGCAGGTTCGCGCACCAAGCAGCACATGCGGACACCGGTACACACTAGTGGTACCGGATTCAAAGCACATAGCTCACCGTCTATGCTTCGACCGTCGAGTGGTGAAATATTAGAACAAATTGCCGGAGGCACTAGTCAAGGCGAAATCGGTGTCGGAATTTAGGTTTCCTTGACGCCCACTTTGCGGACTACAGGTATAGGAAGCGTATCGCACCCGGATAAAATGTAATGCAGTTGCAATATGCTACCATCGCGCAGAAATCAGCGACGTGCTTCCGCGCATGTGCCCCATCCACCTACGATGGAGTAACCGATTTTTATCTTCTCACTCTCTATTCTCAATATTCTGCCCGTCGCAGAGGATAATCAACGGTGCCCTATCTGCTGCATCGAGCAGGATGGATGGGGGTGGGGATACTACTCCTCAAGCTTCCCATCTTCTTTTTTCGCTTGCGTATTCTCACCCTCGTCTTCCTGCTCTAACTTCAATGCTATCCTTTCTGTTTTCAACCCTCCAATCTTTGCACCTCCTTCGTCTTCCTTCAAAGGGAGCTTGTCTGCTAGTTTCGACTCACACACAATCGCACGGCGTCGCTCCAGCTCAGTTGGCGAGTCCCGTGGTAGCCCCTTAAGCGCATACAGATCATACAATGCACCTGCTTACTACAGATGGAATCTGCCATAGATAGTTGACACTATTCAGCAGGTATGTGAGCTATTTCTTGGCCACCACCATCATCTATATTTGTCACTCGCTTGTCGCTCCAACACATTTTGGGCGTTATTCCCACCGTGGCTGCGAACTCGGTCCCTTTACTGGCCCCACTGGACTGGGTAGCCGGCGATCTCTGTGCGTAAGCAACCGAAATTCACCATGTCCGAAGCGCAGATTTCAGCTACGGAACGGGTGCACCGTATGCCGGTGGATTTTCTCTGTCAGTGCTGTTTTGCGCTCGTCACATCCATTGACAAGGCTTTGTCAAGAAGGCTGTCACTAGCCTCGATTATGGTGTCGGGTACTTATGGAAAGGGCTTCCTCCAAGTCTAATTTGGAGAAGTGCCGTTCACCGTTTATCCCATTTATTCATCGACTGTTGGAGGGACGAGTTTTTCGGCGACTAGCTCGCCGTGCAACTCCCTTCAACCGACCAGCGCTGCCACGTCATTTGCCATTTCCGACTAATGTTCGAAGATCGTGTCATCTTCAGGTGCGCTTCATTCTAGTCGCTTTGTCTAACGTCCCTGTGGACTTCATCCCATTCTACGGCTGTTTTTGGTTTGCTAACGGACCACTGATTCAAGGGCAACACGTTCATCTTAATCAGTACATTCTTTGTGCATGTACCGTTTGTTGGTGTTATGTGCACATCATCCTCGATCTACTCTGGGTTGTGTGTGTTTATACATGTCATGTGGTTTGTAATCACCGCGATTTGGGAGACCAACCCTCTAATCTGTAACTTTCACTTTTCCTCTCCTCCGACAGCAAATCTCATTTTACGTCTGAAACCGGTGTGGCAATTGTCACTTTCGCCCAAACACTGCTTTTTCTTGTCGCATTCCTTGTCCTGTCATTCCTACTCCCAAGAAGTTTGGAATATCAGTCATACTTGCTCCGTCAGTGGAATGTCAAGGTGCGTACACCCACCAGTTCGTCACATTCGTTCATGTGTTACGTGAACCTGTGTTATACTTTGATCGGTTTGTCTTCTGGGCAGTCGCAGATTCCATCACCTCTGTTACTAGTGCAAATTGCACTTATTCCTAATTTCTGCCACTCTATAACTCATCTTTTAATGCAGTCGACCATAAATTGAAGGACACCTATGCTTGCTTTTGGCTGCTACATTCTTTTCGGTTATGCATGTAGACCGGTTCTAATTCTGCATATCAGCTAATGTCGCAATTGCGCCGAGCTTGGGTTTTTGATGCACAGTCTTCCGTCGCGCCTTGCTTATCACAGTCCCTCCTTGTGTGCGGCACCCGATTGATTGTACAAGACCGCACCGTCGGCGGACCGGTTGCCACCTGCACTATGTGAACCTTTTGTAATTCATATATCTCGCTTTTTCATTACATTGAGATCTTTCGCACTTGAAACAACCTAGTATCTCTACTTATCGTTTATCTGATTTCATGATGTAATCGGCCTGTTGAGGGGCATTGCTGATATTGTGCACAATAGGGATATCTAAAGCCCGCCGTCGATGAGGATCGGCGGCGTCTTCTCTTTGATCGAACAACACTAGTGCCGAATGCGTGAAAAGTTGGCACATTCGAAGACAGGATGTTATTTGCCGAGTTTGACTTACCGGCCTCCGACATTCTCATCCCAATTGGCGTTCTCGTTTGGTGCATAGTGAGCGGTCGGTTAGGTTACCTTTTTCGAATTTAGTCTTGTAACCTTAATCTGAACAGATTTTTACGCTGAGGCGAACTTTTGTCGTAACCGTCCATTCTTCGGGGACAGGCAGCCAGGGTAACTCAACGTGCATTATGTCGTTTTTAATCTGTAGGACGCCTCGATGTGCGTTCCATAAACAATATCTTCTTTAGTCCCATGAAATTCCTCCTCCGACGCCTCGAAACCATCTGCGAGAAACTCACCGTAGCACGTATGAGCACCAGCCACAGCTCAGGATATTCCGGTGGTATCTGCTTTCAACTTCGCCCTCCACACCTGATCCGATTCTTGTTTAAACTCGTTGGATGAACCCAGCTTATTTTATTGTGAACTTTGTGCCTCGTTGGACGATTTGACCGGACACATCTAAGCATGAGAGCATCTAGCAGTTCTGACTGAATAAACCTGTCATACGAGTCAGGCTACTACATTACAGGCCATTGATGCGCGTGCACAACTATAACCTTCTCCTACCTGTTTGTACAACCGATGCCCGTCACGTAGCTACAAAGGATCACTTCCTTATACACCTAGCAGTTCTCTTGTTCCGTGTCCTTGAAACCAATCTGTAAGAACGTGGTTCTGGAATTCATCAAATTGGATTGTACTTCGAACGGATGTTACTGTTCTTCCTTGGGTCTTTTAATGTTCTCGCTCTATACGACATCAATCAGAGAGTAACCTCACACTCCTTCGAAGTTGTGGTTTGTTGTGTTTCCGAAACACCTGTATAAGCTCGTATCGTCCCAACGCATCTGCGACCGCTGGACTCTGTCTCCGTTAACCAACCTTGCACACCTCGTTTTCGATAGTACTAACTCAATGATTCCTCGGTGTTTATCGCGACGGAATTGATCTCAAATTGTCTGCAACAGATGGCCACCTATACACACTTTGACTTCGAGGTTCAGCCGGTGTTAGTCAGCATCAGCTGAGGACACGGCTTCTGTTTGTTGCTATGATATACGCTCCCATCTGCTGCAGAGTGAAGACCATCAAAACTGAGTATTATGAGCAGCTCACTCCGTTAACTTAATTGGCCAAAAATGCGCATGTCGGAATCGTTGTGAACGGGTTGAACGTCAGATTTTAGAACACCACCACAGAGACTGTTTCTTGCCGATACTTGCCTTACTGGTCGCTTGTTTAGCTGTTCACCGGCCACTACCTTTATATCGGTGGCTTAGTTTTCCATCACAATCCTTCGCATGAGGTAACATGAGGCTCACCGAAAGATAGACTATCCCCGACACAAAGTGACCAAATTCTTGTCGACTGCAACTGGTACACAGCAACTCCGATTTGTCACTGGATCCGGAGCACCCACCACTATTTCGTTGATGTCTCTACATCGCAATTACTTCCGGCCTCAGCAAAGTCCGCAACTTGATTACTTTCGCTCCTGTTCCCCTTAGTCCATGGAGCAGAATCATCGATTATAAACTTCGGTGTCAAGTATCACTGACAAGTGGTCCGAATGAGCCGTTGATTAGACTCTCATTCTCCATAACCGTTTGCTCCTCCAACTTGAGGCACATGAAGGACAGGTTTATTTATGTGGCTTCCATTAGTTTGCTTGAAGCGTGGAACAAAGACAGGCGTTTGACTACAAATCTCAAGTTTGGCTTAATGTTGCTGGTTGACGATGGCCCTTGAGACGGAGGATCTCAATATCATTGGAAACAGCACAGTCTTCTTCCAAATCCCACAACACGCATGTCAAAGGAACTGAACTGATACGCTTCCAATCTTATGTTTATTCTTTTCCAATTATCATCGTGAACACGCGGTTTGGTGTCTAGCAGCTTACTGCGTATTTACTCGGTGACACACGACCACAATTCTAGTCACCATCCTCTTAGATAGTGCTTTCAACCATGTTTTTATCGATGGCATCATATCCGAACAATCGGCATTCTCAATGTCGTTCACCCTTAGTGCAGCGAGACGACCGAAGCCTGGGACCCAGCCCATGGTTTTTCGTTGAATCTTCTTCCACAAGGTCATCTTGCTCCGTGCGAACCCTCATTGCACCCGTTAGGAACCTATTTGCGACACATGTGCGTTCCTAATGATCGACTCAACTGCAATATACCCTACCTCAACCAGCATGGAGGCACTTGTCGCGATCCGGATTCAGTGGGTACTCTAAACCCAACAGTGAACTTTTTACGGCACGACGACAACAACAACAGTACATCAGCCATTTGAACTGATGCTTCGCTGCCATACAACCATGAGGACCTATGAAATAAAGAATAAGAAGAGGGAGAGAAGGGGGACTTACCTGAAAACCTTAATGCCCTAAGCAAACATTCAAGGTCAAGGCGCCTACGCCTTGTGTCAACAACATACCGTCACAAACAGCTGACTATCGTGCAAAGATAAGGCGGCATCGGCGAGACAGCTTCCTTGCGGCTTTCACTGCCACGCGTCATAATCAGCCATTACCCCGCAGATAACTCAGCACCAAACACGCTTTAAACAGGCAATCCGATTAGGAGACGGCAGCAGACGCACCACTGGTGTCTACTGCGAGCCATGTCCTGTAAAGTCTCGAGCGAAGCACAATGCGAGTCATGTGGGCTCCAGCCCGGAAGGCGAGACGGACCAACGTCGTTACTGACTTCATTTCCCGCTGCCAAGTCAACTTCTGTCCACCTCGAGCCTTGCGCCACCCTACACCTGGCAGACTAAACAAGGCCCTCCTAGGTAAGCGGTGACCAGGCATACGTAGCACGTGCCCGAGCCAACGCAACTTATTCAGTGCTATCTGTTGTTCTAGGGAGCTAGTATGATTATCACCACCTAGTACTCGCCTACGCACATCATTGTTGCGGACACGCTGGTGCCATCCGACACCAGCAATGCTTCGCAGACAACGATGATCAAAGACTTGAAGGCGCCTCAGGTCTTCAGACCGAAGGGGCCAAGTTTCACTACCATAGAGCAGAACGGCCCTCACTATGGCCTTGTATACACGGCCTTTCAGATGGAGGGAAACTCTCTTCTGTCGCCAAAGATGCCGCAGGTTCAAGAAATCAGCTCTGACCTTTGTAATGCGTGAGCTGACGTCAGTTTCTATGCGCCCATCGTTGCTGATACAACTGCTGCTGGCGGAGCTACGTAGTGTACTTCTCAAGGTGTTTATCTGACAACTTCGGGCTTCTTGATATGTCCACACTCCTGATTAGTCCATTTGGCTCCGGATAGGTAGGAAGCGGGTCAATTTCGAACCACATATACTGCTTTCGTTTATCTCATATTATCCTACCGTAATATCTGATTATATGTTATAATGCATGCCTGCTTTTTTCTGCTGCTTTCTTTATTGTACATCAGGCGGCGCAGCATTCATTTTGTCAAGTCGCTTGTTTCTCCTCTTGTGTGCTCATTGGTGCATTAATGCCTTAGCTTCCCTCCATTTGATCACGTGGGTCCTATGCTGTTTCAGCGATCAGCCCTGCCTTAGATCAACTCGCATGCTCTTCGTACAGTTGCTTTCCTTTTGCAGGGATTGTTATTACTTATGTCATATAACTGCATTTAGGCCCCTTATCATCCCAGAAAGAGAAATGGACATCCATGAGATGCTGCGTTCTGTCACCAGTGCCGTATCCTCGAAGGCGAAGAATTCGCCTTTGCTTTACATTGACTTAGTGCCAACAGCAGCTATCAGTTATTTTTCCTCTCAGTGTTTCCCGCGCTGCATTACTTCCCTCTGTCACTCATACTTGATGTGACTGAACCCGCGATAATGGCAACGTTTAGCACTACTTGCACTGTGCGTGGGCGTATCCATGGTAAACGTTCTTCGTCTAACGTTACCTATCCTGTGGTACTACTTCCGTGACACCAACTAACTGGGCACCCATGTATTTTCTGATGTTCCATTGCGCGCTCTTCTTCACATGCCATCTCGTTTTCAGTTATCTGTACCTTTTTCGATATTGTCCTCCCTCACATTAGGTGTATCTATGTGACTAGATACACACGCATCGCTATTTTCGCCACTTGCAGTTCTGCTTAATCTGTCCATGTTCTGGCTGTGTTATGGACAGCCTAACGCATTAAAACGGCCGCTTGCCTTCCTCTCGGATCTCTTCCACTTAGTCACTTGGCAGTCAACCTGTGTCAACACTAGTAGACTCAAGTTACAGCTCATCACCAACGAGGTGCATTGCTGAGCAGACCGGCTCGCATGTTCATGTCTTAGCCAAATCTCTCCGTACCTCCTGTTATCCGGCTCGTGATCACCATGTCTAGCGTACACCGACCGCACACGCCACATTCATTAGCAATCACAGATCAGTGCGGAGCGTGCCTGCGTCAGATGAATAGGCCTTCACGTTAACAGCATTAAGGAAGCAACATCCCCTTGTTCGCTTCTCCGAGCGCTTAATGCGAAGCCGATTGACGTCTTCAGCGAGCTGTTTTGTTATCTGTTCCAAGTCATCCATCCACTCCACGCCGTCTTGGTGCTCCTTCTTCAGCGCAACGAGTGATGCGTCGCCCAGCTCTCGGACAACCTGTTCTAACTCCTCTAGCCGCATTTCCCGAGTAGCGTTCGCAATCTGGATGCGTTCCGCGGTTGGCTGTGGGAGACCGGACATAAACTGATCCAACAGTAATTGCTGGTTTGACGGTTCGTCCATTTCCGGCAAGACCCGGTCCAACAAGCTCTTGATGTGGACTGCAAGCACAAGAGGATCCGCCCCAACACCAAGTCCTGTTTCCTTGAATCCTCGCATCGCCTCCTGACGGTAGGCCGGTGTGTCCAATCCGGAGACCAACGCATCCCTCGCGGCTGCCCACTCCAACTTGACGAGGCCTCTTCACGCTGCTTTCAGGGCTGCCTTCGCCGTGCCCTCAAGGTGACTCCGCAGGGCCACCAGCTTCACCCGGTCGGTCTTGGCTCCAACCGCCTCCACCAAATCCTCGAAGTCCTTCAAGAAGGCCCTCACAGCCTCTTCTTCAAACGGCTCCACCCGGGGAATATTCTTCATGCAACGGTTGGTCACCGCACCAATACAAGGACCCGAGGTGTAGACCGAGTAATTTGTTGCGTCAACATAGCTAATACTAGGTGCATCACTTCCGACAAACGAGACATCCACTCATCTTCCCTATCCTTGCTGGAGGTTGCATGGCGCGGGTTTCCTTCTGTGTCCAGGGGTTGTATGGTGTGCATTGCTTGTGCGTCCATTCCTCGCGCGCATACAACTGCGGTTCTGAATTGTTCCTCTCCTTTGGGGGTGTTATTACGCACTGCTGTTGGCTGGTTGCCGTTTCGCACCCTGTCCTTTCCACGCCACTGATAACTGGTACAGTAGTGTCTGTCTTTAATCCACTACAAGAAGAACTGGGACAGGTGAAGTTGTGTGTTATCCGCATGATATTCTTAGTATTATACTTGTTGCGTCATACCAACACCAGAGCTTTGATCACTGTCGCTTGGAGTTAGCTTCAGTTACAGATTATGTTGTATAGAATTTCACCAGTTTGTTTCGGCTGCCTCAACCGTGTCTTGATATGGAAGTAAATGTAGATAGCTCAGATTGTTCATTTGTTAAACGAACTGTTCACTGAGCTTGGCAATTTTGTTGTTTATTCCCTAGGGCCATGAGGCAGCGAATCATCTGTTGGCCGTGCGCTCAGCTCTTGCTCATCTGCTAGTTTCCGTCGTTCCCCGATTCGCCATCACTGATGTGTACTCCCCGAAGAAGAGCCCTGAAGTGTACTCCAGCTCCCATCCCTTCGTTGGATTTGCCCTCATCCAATTGACTGTTAGCACAGGTCACGTGAGTGGTGGCCCTGATCGCACCTCTGAGACGAATGGAGCAGTTGCAGCCGGCAACTCGGATGCAGACGAACCTTCTCAGGTGGCCGACCGTCTGCGCCTGTTGAACCATTTGATTGGTATGATTGACGGGTTGGCTGATGGGGAAGTTCGAGAGCGACCGAACTCTGAGGCGACCATCAATGATAGGAATCAGGTTAACCACACTGTATCGCTTGGCTCTGATCACCAACTGACCAAAGTTCACGTCGGCGGCACTGCCATCGGTTACGCGATAGGGCTGTCATCGACTAACGTAAGTGCTTTGGATATATTTCGCAAATCAATTTGCTTTCGAACATCCTGACTTGGAAGGTGAACATTGTTTTAGCGGGTCAGGCAGAATTCCCTTAGTTCGCGTGGCTATTTGGAGTCCATCATTTAGAACAATAGCCCCACTTTTGCAATCCCATTGCTAAAACCAGTTGTTCATCGCAGAGGACTCAAGCTCTTCTCTGGTGCCATGGGTTAAATAATGCCTCAATTTTGAGGCTCCCTGTTTTAGCGGCAAATCTTCTACACAGCTCGGTTTATCGTGTATACCAATAGAAACTGGAGTAACCTGTGTCACCAGGAGTTACCCAACTATAATTTTGTCCTCTGAATCTCTCCTAGTCCACTGAACCAAGCTTCTGGTCTCACTGTACCTACGATCGTGGCCAATTAGCTTTGTCCTTGTTTGTTGAATTCCATTTGACCCTTCTGCTACCATTCGCTGTAGTCGATAATACTAACGTGGTGGTGTCGCATGGACCACAATTTCCTGTTATAATTGACATTTCCTTAGATTCCGTCGGCATGTATATACATTTCCAATAATACGTAGTGCCTTGCTGCCTAGCGTTGGGGAGATGCAGATGACGCGCAAGCAATACTGACGTACATGAGACGAAACTTTGTTCGAATGCGGAAACTTGCATCGGCCCACTTGACACCACTTCACGACTCCTGGATCCAACTTTAGACGTGCGGCACAGACTGAGGCACGTTTGTACATGGATCTTAATTACTGACAGTGTTACCTTGACAATATAAGCAACATCTGCATCACTACTTTATGTGCATCCACAAGTAATTGGGCGCATGTTGGGATACCATTTAGGTACCCAAACCTAGGCAACAGCATAGATCCGACCACGGGATGCAGTTGTAGGTCAAGCACTTGAACCACCATACCACACTACTCCAGCCATGCATTCCCTTGATGCGATTCTCATCAGCGAGCACTTCGCTAATCTGTTTTCGACTACCGTGTGGCCATTATATAAAAAACCCTCTAGTGCCGCGCGGTCCTATCGAACGCAACCGTCACCTGTGTTTCAAACCCGGTGGTCACCTGGCGTTTATTCTAAACTATTTCCTTGGCAACGCTAACATGACCGAGGACCGTGCATGAAACTTCTTACTAATAAGCATACCGAAACACATTCTGGTAAACCACCAAGTCCATTGTTGGGATTCGTTCATCAGATATCCTAGGTATGTAGAAACGGATGCGAGCATGCGTTGCCTCGTTCATGCAAAAATCCTGTTTTGCGCTGCGATTCATAATGTGGTCATTCTCGTCCTTGTCTGCGGACGTGATGTACTACACACACAAGCGTGATCAACGTCCCATTCGGACTGTCATTAGGAGGAGGATTACTGCCATTTAAGCCACACCATTGTGCTGTTATTCGGCTACCATTTCGTGTGAAGAGTTTACCTCGCTATCTGAGCTTCAGGGGTTGGCTTTCCACCCCTCCATCCGTAATTCGAGTCCCGATGTTTCATGGATCTGAGCATTAATGCAGTATCTCAGCCCTCGTGGAATCGCTTACGATTGCGTGACGGTGAAGCGTCGGCACGTACTGGTAATGTACTGCCCATACCATATTATTCTTCCGTTACCGAATCAGTTTGTAGCATGCAGCACTGATTTCCCAATTTTCACATTAGCAAATTCCGTCGTGTCACCGTCTCTTGTTCATTTTACCGTTCAGCGCAACGGAATAATCTTCATGACACTCTTCCCAGCGTCTGACCAATTACCGTGGCTCGTCGAACCCCGTTTTACCACATCTCCCACTGTTTTCACTGCTTTGCACAACCCATTTGTCCTTTATGACTCTCTTGCAGACCTCACAATCAAGACAGATCGCCGATCTGCTATCGTTCACTGAGCGGGCTCTTGAAGCCTGTGAGGAGGTCAACATGAAGGCTCGTTCCACAAACACTTTCATCCACGCCCGCATTGGTACGTTTGCGCTCCTTTTATCCGAACGAAAGGGAAACGTTTGCTTCGGTCCACGATTACCTCACTTCGATCGCTTTTATTCTGCTTCGTATTTCCTCATATTATCTCTGTTACTATTACCCGCCCTTTCCAAGCTACCTTGTACCATCAGAATGCTCTCTGTTGAAATTCAATAGTCCAACCAGTTCCTTTTCATTCAGTTAGTCCGTGTGAACTCTGTTCCTTTTGATTTCCTTCATCAGGAACTTAATCCACAACGCCTCATCTAGGGTGTCTAGCATCACTCGAAAACCAATCATCTTTATATCCCCCTTTTGGGCAGTCCTCAGTTCAGGTACATGGTTAACTCCCTATACTCCTTGCTTTATAGTAGACGGTGTTTACCGTTGCACCACTTCCAACACATCTTGTTGGTTCACTGAACATCAAACTAGTCAATCATTGTGAGTGCCCTTGGACTTCATCCTTGACTGGGTGTCTGTTCATGGGTTCTCTGGTTTTCTGACCAAACTTATCAGTACCATCTACCTAATTTTTACATTTAATACTGAGTTTTTGACACAACAGAGCATACAGCGCATCAAACTTCGGGTGCCACTCTATCCCTCTATTTATGTTTCTTTGCTCCTACATCCGTCCTCATCCCTACACAGCTTTGCACACTGGGCCAGCTGTTGTCGGTCTTATCGGCAAACGACGTCCCGTCTTCACAATGTGGGGCAACCCGGCACAAGTGTGCCTTCATCTTCTCCAGGAGTCCCACGTACCAGCACTGAACCGACAACACCTGATATTGGCAACCGACGCAGTTATAGGAGCACTACCACCTGGTCGATTGACAACCGGTTCCCTAGCTGGTCAACCTTTGATATGGCGATGTGTCAACGCGCAGTCCGGACGAATTCTACTCTCCTCTCAGTTGCCTACTACCGCAGCCCCCTCTGCACCTAATGGTTCTGGCCGAAAACAACCACCTTGCCCAATTTTGCACTTTTGCTCGATCCCCGCGGCCTCAGTTCTTGAGCCTGATTCGGAGTACATGAACAAAGCAGCATTCGCAGTTCTGAATTTGGCCAGGAGTGCTTCTCTTCGGGCATCGCATATGGTGTCTGTTCCACCACACAAATCATCAGTACGTATTTCGCTAATTCATTCGCTCCTGGCCTGTACTACCATTAACTTAATATCGCGTGTGGGTTCAGAGGTTGTTCGATCAAACACTTAGGTCATCCGCTGCCTAACCGGAGCACACCGATCTATCCTGCCACCTGTTGTATCCCGAAAAAGCAACAGACCAAAGCAGCACCGGAACGTATGTATGGAGAAAAGTGTCTGCACGCACGCGCAGTACGATTAAATCGATAGAGGTTCGAATTGCAACCAACCAAATGCAAGACTACGTGATTGGCCAACGCGTGCTAAATAGAATTGTGAGTAGGATAAGCGAATCGAGGGCAAAAACAAAGCAAAGTATTTGAACACGACATTGTCCTCTCCTCTGTTCGTAAAAATATTAGCACTACATGTCCATGAAGGATCTAATTTAATGGCAGCATTTCGAAGAATTGTCATGTGGTGCTATCCGTTAAAGCGTTTCGGTAGACAGAGCGATGTATCCAACCAGAACCTCGTAAGTTTGTGTTAGTTTGTACCGAGCGCTGTGTTGTAATTGTGTTCGTCTGTTCAATAGCATCTTGGGAAAGCACTGTATGCAATCGTCTTGCATTCACCTTTGTCCCATCAACAAACTTGTAAGTTCTTGACGTGCACACAGATTCCACACGGGTCGCGGATCCGAACACATTACCTCCTTTCCAGAAATAGGATAGTCTCACACGAGCAAATGTCCCTTGAGGATACGTTCTCACAACGCGTCTATATTTAGCCTGGTAACCAGCTCGTCTTTCGTATAGGGGATAGGATAGGATAGGATAGATCCTTGTAAGAGCCCACATTTGGCTGGGATTGCGGAAGATCTTTTACCGCATGACTGTGTGAAGTGTGTGCGATTCGTAAAATAGTCACACATTACATTACATTCGTACGGGGTAACGCCGTTTTTGAACAAAAGGTCAAGTAGTATCGATCTGTCAAGGCTCCCAAAGGCATTTGTATAATCAAGGAACAGGAGCCGCACAGTCATACATCTTTTTTATCCAAAGCACATGCAATGGAATGCACAAGATACGAAACGGCATGCAGAGTAGAGTGCTCAGACTTGTATGCAAACTGTATGATATCAGTGTTATGATTGTTTGTAAAGATTCGGGTAACTAGTAGTTCTTCAAGTATCTTCAGCCTTACAGAGGTACACGCTATTGGCCGATACTTCTGTGATCCCTTCTTAAGCACAGGTGTTATTCTGGCTGCTTCGCAGATGTCGGGGAAAGTGCCAGTCGTTAAACATCGGTTAAAAATCTCTGTCAGTGGTGACTAATGCATCAGCATTCTCTCTTAGAACGATTGGAGACAAGGAGTCAGGGCGACTGGCCTTGTTTGGCTTCAGTCTTGGGAGTTCTTTGTAAACACTGATATGGTCAAATAAGCTGGGAGGGTCATTGGTGGGGAAGGGGGGTAGGCAGAAAGTGTTTGCTGATGATGAACTAAATTCTGCGTTGAGCTTGTCCACATCCACAGTACCGAGTGGACTAGTGAAATTTTTGCCGATGATTTGCTTCAAGAGCCTCCAGTGGTTACGACAACTGCGTTTTCCTAACATGCCATCAACGTATAGGCCATTTAACCTTTTTATCTCGGCTTTTATCTCCACAGATAGATATTTGACACGGGCCGTTAGTTTATTTTTGTAAGCCTCTTGTTTCTGCGCAGTTTCTTGAGTAATCGGAATAAAAATCTATCTATCCGAAGGCAAATGGTTTCAGTGGGGCAATAATGATCGAAACGGACATTGATATAAGCTGTGAGGTGTTCGCATTGGGTTGATAGACTCTTATTGACGAAAATTAAGAAGTCGGTTGAATTGAGCGTTGATTTGAGCTTTGCAATGTTTTCTGCTGAACTGTCTCGTCGCCTAACAGTTCTGAGTGACCTTGTTGTCCTTGTGACGTTATTGGTCTTACGGTAAATCTTTGGGCATATCTTCAATTCGCAATGGTCAAAATTATCAAGCGGGGCGCGTCTTTGTGTGGAAAACTGGTTGTGTTTATTAGTAAAAGCTAAATCCAAATGTGCGTTAAGTCTGGTGGGGGATTCTACCGATTTGGTTAGACCCAGCACTTTAATGAACTCTATGTCACTTCTATTGAAGTCATCAGCGGTGGTGCAGAGGGAACATTCTAATTTCAATTCCGAGGCAAGGTTGTCTGCAAACATTTTTGTCTTTGACAGTGCTGCGTTAGGCGTTATATTACCAATCCCAACTACAACAGATAGAAAACCACTAAGAAACTGGTTTACATTCCAACAGGTGGTAACATATTGAAGCCGTTGATTAAGCGGACAGCTGTAAAACCGATGTAAACCAAGTTTTGCTATTGTACGTGATCACACCTCCGCGGTGGTGAGGTTTACCTAGGCTGTCAGATCTAGTGTGTCAATAACCATTGAGCTTTTCGACTCCATCTTCAATGTCGCGATGTAGCCAGCTTTCTTGTAACATCACTGTACCAGCGTTCGAAAATTCTGTTCGTTGTCAAAGGCTGCGAAGATAATCAGTTTTCCCGAGAAGCGCTCGGATATCACTGAACAGGATAAACGGAATTCGTGCATTGTTAGTATGACAGCGTCTGAGTCCAGCTTGCAAATCAGCACGGTGCTTTTTCTTTACCCCCAAAATTTTCTAGGCAATTCTTTTGAAAGTATTTTTGATTTTGTGGCTATATTTGATTGGAGGTGAATTTCGTACAACTTCGCGGAGCGAACTCAGATAGTCAACAGAATATGTCAACATTACTGACCTTACCTTGGCTCACTTAAACAAATGGAAAAGAAGTTGTAGAAACAGGTGTGAGAAACTATCCGCAGTGATTAGCTTAGAACCATATTCCAATCACAACAGAAACGGCCAAATTTGAAGGCCCCGCCAGTGAAACAAATCTATCCACGAAATCGGCATCTTGAGTGCTCCATTGTTATCAGTAGTACCACAGGTATAATCTTGCGTGGAGTACTAACTAGTTCTTAGCGTGTAGCACCTGGACACCGGAGCCATTCTGCATCAGTTTATTGAGCGGAATCCTTGTATTTCTGTGCTCCTTAATGACTTCGCCATACGAAGGAGCACAGTATAGAGCGATAGTTGATATTCGGATTCGTCGTTTCCAGTTTATAAATAATGTCCAGGAAACTGCTCTCAACACAGTAGATGCTGTCGATCGAAAAGATATCCGTTAGTACATGGGTAGGCCGAAGGATCTCGCTGCCAGCCATTTTAACGAAGTGCTACGAAGGAATGGGGTAATCCATCATTTTCCTCTTTGGTGTTCTCTTTGTGCAATCCTTTCACCTTAGTTTGAGTACCCTCTTACGATTACGAATAGCCGTGATTTCTATCTACTGTTGTACTGTGCACCGATGTTTGCAAAGCTATGATAAATTGCTAAGCATTATTTCTCCATAACCCCAGTAACGTCCCTATGGTCCCAGGTTCGAGATCTGCTATCTTAGTCAGATGCGGTCAAATGAGGTTGAACCGCGTCGTCGAGTGCGGTGTTTTCTGAAGGACAGTATTCAATTTCCATCTCCTTCGACCACAGTCCCTGTGAGGTTATTGAGGAAGGTTCATTTCTATGTGAATCACGGTCTTCATAGAGACTGCGCGTCGCAATCCAATCACACAACGAGTAGACGGGCAAAGCTTGGCACAACAGTTAACGACAGTTTAGAGGGTCGATTTGAAGTACGAGCTGTGTGAATGGATTGCGACGCGCAATCTCAAAGCGGATTGCGATTCCCATTGAAGTGAACCTTGGCCATTCGATCACTAGGACCGTAGCTGATGAAGCAGCCGCAAATTGGGTGTTGCCTGCCTGAAACCACTGCACTCCATGACCCGTTTCGAGGTTATTTCCTCTCATCAGATAGAGATAGCAGGCATTGAACCCGGGACCATTGGGATGTTAGATGTGACCGGCACCCCTAAGCCACCGGGTCACGACAGGCAAAGCTTGGCACAACGGTTAATGACAGATTGGAAAGTCAATTTGAAGTACACGTTGTGTGGATGGATTGCGACGCGCAATCTCAAAGTGGACCGCGATTCCCATTGAAGTGAACCTTGGCCATTCGATCACTAGGACCGTAGCTGATGAAGCAGCAGCAAATTGGGTGTTGCCCGCCTGAAACCACTGCACTCCATGACGCGTTTCGAGGTTATTTCCTCTCATCAGATAGAGATAGCAGGCATTGAACCCGGGACCATTGGGATGTTAGTTGTGACCGCCACCCCTAAGCCACCGGGTCACGACAGGCAAAGCTTGGCACAACGGTTAATGACAGATTGGAAAGTCGATTTGAAGTACACGTTGTGTGGATGGATTGCGACGCGCAATCTCAAAGTGGACCGCGATTCCCATTGAAGTGAACCTTGGCCATTCGATCACTAGGACCGTAGCTGATGAAGCAGCAGCAACTTGGGTGTTGCCCGCCTGAAACCACTGCACTCCATGACGCGTTTCGAGGTTATTTCCTCTCATCAGATAGAGATAGCAGACATCGAACCCGGGACCATTGGGATGTTAGTTGTGACCGCCAGCCTTAAGCCACCGGGTCACGACGGGCAGAGCTTGGCACAACGGTTAATGACAGATTGGAAAGTCAATTTGAAGTACACGTTGTGTGGATGGATTGCGATGCGCAATCTCAAAGTGGACCGCGATTCCCATTGAAGTGAACCTTGGCCATTCGATCACAAGCTGATGAAGCAGCAGCAAATTGGGTGTTGCCCGCCTGAAACCACTGCACTCCATGACGCGATTCGAAGTTATTTCCTCTCATCAAATCTAGATATTTGTGATTGCTACCCCTAAGCCACCAGTTCACCAATAACATCCCAATAATCCCGGGTTCGATGCCTGCTATCTCTATCTGATGAGAGGAAATAACCTGGAAATGTGTCACGGTGTGCAATGTTTTTAGGCGGGCAACACCCCATTTGCTTCTGCTTCGCACTGCGCGGATTTCGAAATGACCATCCAAGCAATCTTTGATCCTTGTATTATGTGTTTCCTGTCGTGAACCGGCGGCCAAATTAGTAATTTTCCCAACTAACATCCAGTGTTCGAGGTCTGTTTTCGCTGCATGATGTGATCAGGTAATGCCGAAGCACGTTGTGTATTGCAGTCTTTTCAGCTAGCAAAACCCAATTTTCATCATCCATATCTTCTGCATTTTTTTCTTTCTGCCTGTGTCGTCCATTTACCTGGCTCGTGCGCATCATGCCCAGTCCCCTCTTTTTATCCTTGCTTTGGTACAGTGCCAAGTGGCATCTCCGGAAGCCTCATCCAAATGTTTCAATGGACGACAATCGGCGCACCTCTCTCGACTGCCCACCACGTCATTGACTTCCGCTCACTCGTCCACTCAGACCGTCCACTCAGTGGCTGTCACCTCGTCAACTAACTTGGACAAACATCCGGCTGGTCGCTTCGTCATCGCACAGCCTACAGTCCAACAGTTTAACCGGTCTCACCCACTTCAACCAGCTCCTCCAGTCGCCGCACCCCCACCACCGCCGCCCCCACATCAACGTGCCTATTCTTCCCAAGGTCTGCAAGCCTGTCTCGGGTCTGCGGTCCCCTCCACTGCATATGTGTGGTCTCCTCCTGGATCCAGTGTTGTTGCATCGCACTCTCAGGTCGGCGTTGGTCCTCCAGCCTCTCTCAGTCTCTCTGACGGTTTGTGCGATATCCTCGCTTGTCAGCCCACTAAGCGAATTGCTCCGGCAGGGCACAGCTGCAGCATGGAACCACCCAGCGTGGCCACTCGCCAAGCATTTCGCCGCGGTGTGGTTTCACAATGTGCACCTAGGTCTCACGGTGCGTGCACACGGTCCCCAAAAATTGACCATTTTTATCATATGGAAGTTGTTTGTGATGTACTTTATTCCTCTACTGCTTGGTCGATCTCTGTTTCTCACACTAGAAACTTGTCTGCTTCGAGTGACCCATGAATGAAGTTATTTACTCTGTTGATACTTTCCTTCTGCAAGTTGTGAAAATGTTCCCGCGTGTATGAACCACTGTAGTTTGAGGCTGACTCCGTTCCAAACATTGGTTGCGCAGTTCAGCATCAAGTCTTTTATTGACATCACACCTTTAACCATGAGGTTTTGACTATGTTCGCACTTTCACTTTCATGTTAGGAACCCTGTACAACATTCACGGGGTACAATTTTGTCCACAGCATTATTGCAAACGTACGTACGTACGTATTTCCTGCTCGGCAATCTTGTAAGCCCCTCTCAGCGGAAACCCCTTACCGGATCCTGCTTGTCTGTTCCATCGGGGTTCCTACTCTTAGTTAGCTGTCTGAAACACACCTACCTAACTCAGCTGGGATTCGCTGAAACTCCAGTAAGCGTTACTACACCCCTCGAATGTGGCTTCTTTACTTGGTCAGGCTCGTTTTTTCATGTGAACCATCTCCACACCGTGCTTATTAAGTACTGGATACCTCAGACGAATGTCACACAATCGCTTGATCATCATAAAATGGTCGACGTCGCTAAACACCCGCTTGGGATGGGAACCCGCGAGTTCCAGTCTCCAGATGAGCGCTTTAGACCCTCTCTTGCCAGGTGGTTCTCTTAACACGTGTGAAATCGGCTAGGAACGGGCTTTTTTGGTTGCCTTCTCTGAGTTGGCATTTGTCGGCGATTTTCTGTAGGGCTAATCACCTGAGTAGTCCATACACTGACGAAGCTCGTCTTTTGGTACCTAAAGCTGGTAGCACTGGAAATTCACTACATTTCTGGTACGAACTTTTTTCTGGAGGCACTCTCGATCTCAAGTGGGACTGCACCTCCATTTCCATACAGCGCGGTAGGTCCCACTCACCATAATGAACTCACCGTAGCTCCCGTGCCATACATGGCAGCTATCCATTTACGCTCAGCATTGAAGACGATACTTTTCGATTGCACCAATGTTTACGGTTTCGGCCAAGCGCTCCCTAACCTGTGGAAACCGAAGCGATCGCGATATTTACTCCACCTAGTTTATGACTCCTGCTTACTATGAGCAGCATCACACACACACACAGCGAGCACCGCGTTGGGTTTTTCTGATCACACTTTGTTTTAGCATCAGGTGTTCAGATTGCGAGCTGTGATCTTTAATATTTCCCCTTTTGTTTTCTGTCGGCTCCTTATAACCGGATCCCACTGGTGAACGCAGGAGTCAACCGAAGTGCGCTCATTGCGCTCTTAATCCACCTCCCCGACTGTCCGTTGGATTGACCCAGTAGCTACTTACTCCATCTGTTCCCCAACATCGAAACTTTTTGCTTATTGTAACCAAATCGTTATCATTTACGAGATTGTTTTGCACTCCGTTACCGTTTTGTGTCTATACCACCTCTTTAGAGTACTCCATCGTCCACGTCGAACCGCTTGCCTCCAACCCTGGTCGAGTTCATTCGAACGAACTGAAGCGCCGGTGCCTTCAACCCTCTGTTATCGGTTCGCCCGCGAAAAATGATGGTGGATATTGGCACAATTCCATTCCCCACCCTCCCAGTCACAAATTGCATTCTGAAAATCGAGCAGACTCACACAACAGCTATGCTCAATGTGTAAAACATGTGAGTCCGTTGCACGCGTGCTCTCTCCTTTTGTTCTCCTATGCAACCGCACATCTCTGTTCCCCATACTCCCTTTCATTGCATTCCGCAGATGGGATGGTTGAAACGTGAATAGAAACACTCACTCCTCTTGCTCCCCTCCATCGGCTTATAACATCGTTCATACTTTAAACTTTTTCGTAACACTGGTTGACGATTCACCTGTTCATTGGTGCACTTAGTTTGGCAGGTTGGTTGCAAACGTTCCACCACCATGCGGGGTGACACCGTGAGTGCAGGAATATGCAGGGTGCAATCTTGCTGATTGGCCAGAATCAGCAAGATATATCATTTTTGCAAGAACAAGCTGGCAGATATTTTCTTAAATCAGCTTCCAAGATCACTGAGATATCGCGCACGATCCCCGATCCATCATATTTGGACACAAAATTTTGCATCAACTGTAATGAGTTATGAAGAAACCTTTTAATGGAGCCTTCTCCTTCTGAATAGACCCAAAGCCCGAAGATATAGTGAAGCGTTATCCGATTGTTGCCTGATCGAGTTATGACTGCACCCTTTTCCTTTTTCTACCCATTTATAAACTACAGCAATTTTGATGATACCCGTTTAGTAAATTTACAGCTGATAAATGCCGAAAATACACCCACCTTGGTACATAAAACGTATGCTTTGACCCCTTGACTTGAACAGTGAAAGCAGTCAAAGGGTAGTCTGATGGAGGTCACTTTATCCCCTCATGTGGGCCAGTTTATGCTTTACTGTCTGTACTGCGTACCTACTCTCACCCTCTGGCTTTTGCCGTCTTTTGTTAATTGTACCTAGTCTCTTTCCATACGTTCTTCCCAACTAGCTAGTTGATGGGCTTACGGCGTTTGTTGACCGAGTGTGGATTTATGCCACTTGACGCATTCCATCGCACACACACACATTGTATCGTAGTGACATGCTGATAACACTGCTCAGCCAGCATTGTTGTGTCAGTGCAACGGGCCTCTGACTGTACACTCACACTCCCTCTTGATGCCCCCACCTGTCCGTTTCGTTGGCGAGTATGTTTGTTTACTTGGTCGTGGAGAATTCTCTGTGGTATCACCCTGGGAGGTTTGTTAAATTAGTTTGATTGGGTTGTGGAAATCGCCGTTCCACTGACTTCCCCAACTCGTCATTTCATTCAGTGCCTATAATTTGCTCGTGGGTTTCGTCAGCGAAAGCGGTGCACATCGATACGATACGGTGTCAAGTTAAATGTTCACCTCGAAACTTAACATATTCAGCCGAACTCTCGGCAAGCAAGGCACTCAAGTGCGAATGATCAGCAATCCGATGAAGGAACTTGCCTAACTTGTATGAGCGGTGCTGCGTGCACACCTTATATGACGATTGTTATCATCAGGACAACAACATATTGCTGTTGTTACCACAAGGCATGTCTATACAAAACCGATTTACATGCTAAAACCTTCGGAATTTAAAAAGTCACAATTCTGGCGCTTTATCAATGGTTTCATCGTCGTTTACTATCTGACCATCGTTGTCTGCGTCGGATTGCTCGCGTTTGGTGGCAGCGTCACGTGAGCGAGTGCTTTTGCAAACAACCCGTGCCTCCAACCCGTTATTCTCCGACACCGCATGCGTTGGCTCAAGCACGTATTGCGCATGCCAGCCTATCACCTTCCCCATCGAGCGTTATTTGCGCTCTCCGGAAACCATTGGAAAAGTGCCCTGGTGGACAACCAACGACGTGGAGAAGGAGCACGAAAATGGCAACCTCAAACTTAGCATCCGTCGGACCGGTCCCCCTTCCAGGATGGGGACCACGCGAATTGGACTGCCAGTGGTTAGAAACGTTAGAGGTGATGGTGCGCAACAGACATCTGTGGCGACACTATTGTTCAAACGCGTTACGTATAAACTAATGTCTAATCGGGCATAACACAACTCAAAACGGCGTGCATAAAAAATCGTTTTCTTTTCCTGTTATATATATATATATATATATATATATATATATATATATATATATATATATATATATCACTGTCTGGCCAACCAGTGTTACGACTACAGCCGAGCACTGCTTCCTAGTCGTCCATCGCCAACGACTAGTGACCTCTTATTGTCTCCGACACGCGCATCGATCGTATTTCTCTAACCCATACATTACACACTATGGAGTTGGGCGCCCTACGCATTCGGCGAACTGACCGGCATCTCATCACCACATCGGCGCCCCGGGTCGTCATGTGCACACTCATCTCATTGACCATTCGACCACACAGCTACTGTGATTGGTTGGCCGATTTATTTATGCTTTTACTTAGTTACCGCGAACGCTAGAACCAAGACAGTCCATTCATACAACCTTGTCTTCAGTCCGGTGGTGCCGCTCTGCTTCCGCCCACCCCGCACCATTCCCTTTGCGTTGTGCTCTGGGTCTCCTATACCCCCAGTTGTGTCAGGTGTCCAAGTCACAACGCTTCTACTCTTGAAGTGGTGGTTGTGGCTACATCATATACAGATATTAAAAAAGAAAGAGGTTAAGTTATCTCATTACTTCTTGCAGGTACCTTAGGGTTTGTTTTCTATGCGCCGGAATGTCGTACGCTGAGTTTATGGGAGGATGATGTTTGTGCTTAGTTGCCATCTACCACTTGATAGATTAACGTTACTGAGTTTGCTGGCGCAGGTCATCTGCATCCTCTTCAGTACCTTGATGGACCTGAAATGCTCTGGAATTTAGTTTACTGGTTACTCTAGCCACAGCAACGCTTGTTCTCGACTCTACTTCTCGTATTTGTGTCACTACTTTCAGTAATACTTTACTGTTCATTTTGCATCTCCAGTTTTCACGGTATCATGGCCGACTCGTCACGGCACGAATTCGGCCTTTCGTCGTACATTTGTTGCATCCTTCTTTCTGCACTTTACTGATACCATATTCCGTCCACGTGATGCGCTTTCGATTTTTAAACCAACGTGTGTTTTAACATGTTTCCTCTGCAGCCTGGTGCTGTGGTAACAACTGACGTCATTGCCCAAGCGGAAAAATTTCATAATTCTGCCTCGCAGCAACCTAACCAATCTGGTATCCCCCGATCTTTAACTCTATCTTCTACTGACTCCTTCTTGGCCGCTGAGATGGCTTGTGCGGAGGAGTCTGGCCGTCCGGTGTCGTCCGCATCACCTGCGGTCGTTGTAGATCTTTCAAGCGAAGACGATGCGGCTGGAGACGTTGAAGCGACTGATGTGATCAGCCATCACAATCCCCTGTACACGGATAACGAGTAAGTTCCGAATTGCAGTCCGATTTTGCCTTTCCAGTTTTCATCTTCGTTCCATTCATTCCACTTGTGATCCGATCCATTTTTGACCTTTGAGGCTGTTAAATGTATTCCTTCCCTGTAAACACTCACGCGATGAACCCTTTCGCCCTAATGGTCAGCTCAGGGTACTGCTTTGATCCTAGGGACCTCCTTTAAAACTCCAAACTTGGATCAGATAGATCTAAAGCATGCCTTTAGAGTTGTATACAAAATTCCACCGCACCGATCGTAAGGTCAACGCATTCGTACACTTGCGACGGCCGAAGCAATCTGCATTCGATTATTGCAACCGTCCTTTGCTCACAAAAGGAACTAGTCCAGGCCCTACAGCTTCCCTAGCCCGAGAAAACGGGGGATGCTGAGGTCAACGACATGAGGTCAAACTCCGTAACATGTCATTAGCTCGTTTCGATTTTTCGTCTATGTTACTTGTACTAACTGGTCGATTTTACTCTTTCCATTTTTTAGCCCTATATATGATTGTACTGGTCTGATGATGAATCATTGAAAGCAATTGCTCACCAAACGGTCTCCTTGTTCTCATTAGCTTACATGCGGATTTTCAAGTTACTTAAACGGATCTGTTGACAGTATTTGTTACCGAACTATGTTGAGACTATCCCCAGTTGTACCCATATTTTAACGGTCCTCTTTGCGGTTAGCTCAGAGACACCGAAATATTTGACGTGTGTCACTGAATCTAAACTGATATCACATACTTTCACCATGCAAGCCAGCACACAGGGACATCCATATAGTCGATCACCTGTTGTCGAATTCTACACTCATGCAACCTTCGGAGTCTTGCTCTTCACTGCTGGTCCATCAGCATTCATTTCACCAACTCTGGTTTTCACCTAATTCGCTGACTTCTTCCATTGGAAATCCATCGGGTTCGTCACACCTGGCGTTGAACGAACACGTAATTCATCACTTTAGTCTCGTTAATTGATTCCGTCGCTTTATCCTATACTAGACTGTTACCTTCCTGTTCTACTCGTCAGGACATCCACAGTCACATGTTGCACTCACCATCTTCAGTTTCTCACCATTTGCCTTCCAACAGTACAACATCTAATCTGTCATGTCTTCCTAGAATTCACTACACTGGATTGTATGCCTCTGATCGTCTTGGTCTAATTTTAAAGCCTTCCGCCTGCTCTTGGCCTGTATCACACAACTCTAGTGTCATGTGTGGATTTCCAATGACACGATCACGACTGCTTGATTTCATTCCGCTCCGATCCGCCTTGCCTCACGACGTAATACTACTTTTAACAATGAACAAAGGATATCACGGGAGAAAAAGATCAAGTAGACAAGAAAGATTATTGCAAGTGGTAAAGCACCACCACCACCACCACACAGAGGAGTTAGTATGCTTATGCGCAGGACTGAGTGCTTCCATTGGCATCGCGACTGCGCTACGTCGGACATGATCTCAAATCACGAATGTGACCTGTTTCAGAGCCACCAGCCGCGAGTACTAGTTAGGCTCAAACGTTTGAACACTGTCTTCTTCAACTTTTGGCACATCATCGATTGGTAACTTATTTCATCCAGCTTACATGGGCAAGTGAAGGACATGATTTAACCATTTCCGGCGATATGAGTTCGAGTTCAAAGTGGGTTGTTAGTAGACACCGGCTGGTGAACTGCAATTTCACTCATTCGGTAACCCTTCTGGAACGAGCGATATCCCTCTGTCATCGCTGCTCAAGGACGGTCATTTGCTTAGTCTTATATGTGCGACAACCCTGTTTCTGACTCAGCTCTGCACACATTATTTTTGGCAGTTAAACTCCCTCGCCATTTCATAAATGGTTTAAACTTTTATGGTCACTCAGTCGTTACTAACGTGTGCAGTAACTTTGTCCATCTAGACACATCGCGTCCGTGTAATCGCTTACACTCTTTGTCCACTGATAGTCCACTGGCATGTCATCAGCCCAATTATGCAACAGCACCATTCACTTCGAAGGTGTAATGTACATTCCGAAGAATACAACGTTACACGTCTGGCCATCTCGTGAAACCGAGCTCTACTGCGCCGATGATTCCTCACATTTTCACAATGCGTTCGCTCTGTTTTGTGATCACTGCCAACCCACTGTGCTAACGGGAGATTCAGTGCAACTCTTTCTCTCTCCTCTCTTCTTCTCTTTCTCTCTTCATTGCAACTCTCTGTGATTAGTCATTTTCTATTTTTCGCTCTCGTCACCCAAGCGGTGTGGTTTTATTTGCAATTTGAAGCAGTTTTTTTAGCCATAACTCTTCCCACTTAACCACAATGTGAGTGTTGTGATCGGAGTATGAGATTGGAGTGATGAGACAGATTTACTTGTCGAATCAAACAGCTATATTGCCTTAAACAAACGGAGCAGATTATTTGACCTCTGATGGTTTACGCTGGTTGGTTAATATATGTCTGCGCTGCAGTGGGTTTGCTTGACCGAGGCGAAGGTAGAAGCTTATGGATGCAGGAGCATCGTTAGTCATAGAGGCTACCTAGTTATCTACGTCGAGGCTTCTATAGGCTAGTTATGCTGTGACTTTTATTGAAATTTTGTCAACTAAATCGCTTATCCCTGAAGGGCCGAGTTTTGTGACAGCTGCCACATCCACCGCCTACTAGCACGAATTTTCTTTTCAACACATAATTGGAGCCTGGCCTGCTGTTTATGTTAGCGAACTTCTCGATGCATTGTCCCCTGACTCCTAATTTCCGCAAACCAGTTACCCCATCCTAAATCCCAATTAATATGCTTACTATCACCTTACTCCTTTACCCATCTGTTTATCGCTATTCATGTGCCTATCGAGCCTTCGTCTTTTGCCTTTCAGATACGAATCCATGGCCGAAAGCCAAGGCAACTTGTGCTTCCAGGGTCAATCAAAGTCTAATATTGCACACATTCGCGCAGGTTCCGGAAATTCAAACGGTGACAGCCAGCAGTCTGGGGATGTTTCCCTCTTCTCCAAACGCGGTGATATTGATTTTCCTGATCGTTGTGCCACACAATCCGCATTTCCGTTCAATCGCACCGCCGTTGGTCATCCAGCAGGACAGGTGCTTTTGAATCACCACATCCAAACACGACCAAGTGAATTCTCAACCCAAGCACAGTGGAGCTGTGCTGTCGGAACAACCCCTGGCTCCATAGGTGGTGCACTGTACTCAACCACCTCAAGGTATGTAGTGCAGCGTTCATTGTGTGCCCCTGTGTCGTCATGACTGCCGTTTTCGCCTTTGAGCCACCCGACAAGTCGTCAACCTACAGTGTTGTTCTTCATGAAGTTGTGCCCACTTTTCTTGGCCTCCATCCGCACCCTCATTCGGTTCATCTTTGTACGCGTTCAGTAAGATTTCGTTCGGGTATTACTGCGGCGCGGATCCGTCCCTCTTCATGGAACTTGGGACTGGATTTTGAAAACATTCAATTATGCCTTGTGTACAGTTCTTATGTTTACTCGTTTTTTAGATTGTCTTGGAAAACGAGTCCCGAAAAACTAGGGGCCCGTCTAATATTATCGAATCTTGTTCTCCTTCTTTATTTGTTCTGATAAGTTGGCTGCTGTCTTTTGATCTTTTTTCTGATGCCGTCCTTATTTTCTTCTCGTTTCCTCTCTGCATGGTTGATCCCTATATCTCTTCAGAACATTGAACATTTTTATTTTCCCTGCTTTCAGTGCTCAACCTTTCAACTTTCCCGATATTCGACGCCCTTCCAGTCCCAAATGCGTTCGCGACCCTAAGTTAACCACACGACCAAACATGCCTTTGAACTTTCCGAACGTAACTGCCGGTTACGGCACCAGAAACTACGCGGCAGTTGGCGTACATAACTGCACTGGTCAATTCTCTTCGTTTGCTTCTTCCGTTGCTAGAAGCGCTCCTGTTTCCAGTGCACCCTCAGGTAACCGTGTCCATCCACCATCGTCCAATGGGCGTTCCATAAACATGCCTTCCAATGCGGCTTCTTTGGAACCAATCGCGCCACACGGCACTGCGTGCCTTGTTTCCGAACCAAGCATCTCACTGAATCGACACACACCGAATACCGGAGTGAGCCCACTGATTTATATTAGCTCGCTTCCGATTTGAGTCAGTTCTACCAGAGGATTTATCTCTTACCCCATCTCACCCCTTTCGATAATACGGGTCTTCCGTCCATTGTAATCTTTCTTTATTCATTACTGTGTACTGCACTCCATCTATTGTCATTTTGGTTCTCATTATCTAGACAGAATGTTGCTTTTCTTGCCGCTTGATACGATTTATCTGCGAGACAATGAACTATCAATGCTTAAACTAGCTATGCTTAGCCACTTGATACTTTATCTGCTCCACATGTGTTAGTTCATTGTTCCCGTTTAGGTGGTCAAATGAGATCATTGAACCCAACTACAGCAGATTCAGTTGTCTTTTGCTGTCAAAATAATAATCATAATATTAACGCATTCATTCCAACAGCGCACAGGCTACATAGCACAGCCAAGTCCGGAAAAGCACCAGACGCGTTTCGTTCTATTGGGGCTCGTCAGTGATGCGCATTTCCTCATTCCCCCCCTTGGGGATCGAACCCATGACCGCTAGAGGCTGACTCCAACTAACCAGCAGCTTAAGCCACTGAGCCATGGGAGACAGCAGCTGGACTACATAATTTGCAAGCTAACTGGGGTATAGTTGCTGGCTACTTGGCATCAGCCTCTTGCGGTCATGGCTTCGATCCCCAGTAGGGGACCGAGGGAATGCGCACCACTGACGAGCCCCAATAGGGCGAAACGTGTCCGGTGCTTTTCCGCACTTGGCTATGCTATGTAGCTTGTGAGCTACTGGGATAAAGACTTTAAAATTACAAGTAAAGTCCTGCTACTCACGAGTAATAATGATAGTCATAGCGTTGTTTCTTTTCATGTGGTGAGAGGAAACTATAACAACCGGCTCAAATCATTTGGAGGGTGGGAACGAATGCAAAAACATAACCTATTTCTTGACCCCGCAATGTGCGATAGGCTGTCGAATCGATAATTTTGTCATTCCCTTAAGTGACCCTATCCAGGAAAACAACAAACGCCTGTTCTCCCAAGCCTTACTGTGGGTTTCTTCACACTTATCTCATGTATTTGACTGGCATCTAGACTTAACCAAGTCCGGTATTGGCGCACAACACACACCGCGAAATAAGCGTTAGAGAACACCTCTACCCACAATCTGGAACAAGGTACTGGAATGATGACTTATTCCAACTCTATTACTCACTGGACTGGTCGTCTTACGAGCAATTTTTGGCTTATTAGCGCTGTCAAATAATACTCTTGCAGTCGTTCACAGATAGCCTCGATACTCCCGTTTTCCGAACGTTTCTACTCACCGGTATGAGTCTGTCGCTCTGTGTGCAAGCATCGAATTAAGGTGGGCTCCATCCCGTTACATTTCCACTATGTTGCTTTTTTTCAATGTCCGACACAAGTGCTTTATTCTCCATCTTGCTTTCTCACGTGGGATAGATGGCACCACCGAGCACTTCACAGGGGACCACCGCCCCTCACCTGGACGCTGACAACGTTGAGGCGGAGTACGCCGGTACTTATTCACTTGGTCCGTTGAGCATGGTTGTGCAACCCTCCATCGCAGGAGATGGTAAGTGGTGATCCGTCCGGACGATTCGAGTTTACCTGTGCTAAGCATTCATCATATTAATTTTTCTCGTTAACCGATTTCGTATCCGACTTGTGTGATTATGGTTACTTTTACTCCGATAGCCTGTGCATTCCGATAGTTCCCGAATGCCCGCGAACGTTTAGGCATACCATGTGCCCCAACCCATAGCCGATCACATATCTGAGCTCCGTTTCATTTACTAGCGTGGAGGGTCGGCTTATCTCAGTTCTAATGGGACATACCCGCAATTCAACTTTGTGCTGTCACCCGACGTCTTATCCCACCAACTTTGGCTGCGCGTGATGCTATCATTAGTAGATTGCCTATCTGTTAGAACGTAGTAGCGAGATTTTAAACTAATTTTATAGAGGTTCATCGCAATCAGCTTCGGGCGGACAGCCACGGCGCACCTGTAGAATTAGTGGATAGCTCTTTCCTTTGTTACTTGACCCAATAGCAGTGCTCCCTTCTCCCGTACCCCACTCGATTCGAGATAGACTTAGGCCACCGATCAACTGCTGCAGTCGACGGACTGCTGTGGCTAATGGCTAGCTGTGATTGTGCCGGATTGTCTAAAAGTACCATCAGCATTATAGTCCTTCGGTGTTTTCGAAATTGTTGTTGTCCTTAAATGGCTTTTTATACTACAGTGTGCTTGACTGCGTGCCTTCAATACCTCGTCATTTGATTTTTAAGTTTGTGACCGCATGCATTCTGCCTCACTGGCTCTACTGTTCCACTGCAACTTTTCCCACACTGCTGAACGAAGGTTACAAATATTTGTAAGGTTATTAAAACTTATTTCTAGATATAATGGATTGTCTAAAGTGGCCCTCGTTGATCCTATTGTCAGCAAACAGCTGGATGCTTGTAGCAGTACTTCCTATAAAATTGTAAATGAACATTACTGGTGTACGAAGGCAACATCACACTAGTAATGAAGATGTTCGACGAAGGATTTTCAGATCAAACCGGTTATGCCGGCCGCTGAGCTGCATAATTTTACTGCACTTGCTTTGGTGGCTTGGCTACGGGCTACGCATGTCTACTGATCCTTTGCCTCACCGAGCCCTCCTTACGTGGGCAGAAGTCGGCTGAAAGCGAAAACAAGGTGGTCAACGAATGACTTGGGCCCAAAGTATGAGAGCACTGACCTCAACTCTGACCGTCTTCGAGCGCTCTCGACTCCCTGGCTGGGACGCAAGGGTCACGAGCACACATAGTTGGTGACCCTCAAATATGGCAAAACATCGTGCGCAATGGCGGGCATGTTATGATACTCTACTCCTATGAACACTTTCTTATTTCTCCTCGTTTGTTTATCATATTTCCAATGAGTTGTGACACTGTGCCATTTAAACTTTTGGCCATGTGTTGAATATATATATATATATATATATATATATATATATATATATATATATATATATATATATATATATATATATATATATATATATATATATATGGTTGGCCGCCGCCAACACAAGGAGTTCTTTGACTTCTTGAAGGCGGTGTATGGACAGAGGTTGGAGCCGCTGAGGACGCTGATCGATGGTAGTTCAGGCGCTACCTGCACATAGACTGCAGACATCATGCAGATCTGGCGAAATCACTTTGACTGTCTCTTGAAAAACCGTTCAGAGATTGACTGACCTACATTGAATGGACTGAAGCAGCACGATGTGAAGGCGAGTCTGGCGGACACACCGACACTGGATGAGACGCGGAGAGTACTTGCTCAGCAGCGAAACGGCAAGTGTGCCGGTGCCGACGAGATCCCGCCTGAAGTATTGAAACACAGCGGACCTGCGTTGGTGACTGCGCTGCATCACTTGGTGCAACGCGTGTGGACTGAGGAGGAGGTGCCTCGTAAGCTGAAGGACTCCTTTGTGCTACCACTGTACAAGGGCAAAGGGAGCAAGCAATGTTGCACCAATTATCGTGGTATCAACTTGCTGAGTTGTGTGGGCAAGGTGATTGCTCGAGTCCTGCTCAACTGCCTCGTCACTAAGGTTGTTGCTCTGAACATGGCGGAGGAGCGATGTGGATTCCGTTCGGGTCGCATCACCATCGATATTGTGTTTGCGGCTCGACAGTTGCAGGAGAATTGTACAGAACGACACCAGCCGTTGTACTTGTTTTTTGTTGATTTCAGCAAAGCATTTGATACAGTAAACTGCGAGGTATTGTGGCTGGTGTTAGGTAAGTTTGGTTTTCGGAGTAACTTTGTAAATTTAATTGAATGTCTGCACAGTGGTATGTGGGCGAGGGTGCAGCTGAGTGGAGAGACCTCGGATGACTTTGCAGTTGTTTCTGGTGTGAAGCAAGGCTGTGTCTTAGCTCTTGCCCTGTTTAATATATATCTTCATACAATGAGGTCTTGTGCTTTTGATGCGACTTGTGCTTACGGTGTTCGTGTGGAGCACGGAATTGATGGTGCATTGCTGAACATCCGTCGTTTCGGTGCGAGAACTCTAGTCTGTGAGACAACTATCCGTGTGTTGCTGTTTGCTGACGGCTGTGCGTTGTTTGCACACAGCACGGATGATTTGCAGCATATGACTAGTGCTCTGGCTTGGATAGTGACCAAATTCGGGCTCACTATCAACACAAGCAATACTGTTTGTCTTTTCTAGCCTTCAACAGGAATGGAGTCCGTGGCCTGCCCGAAATCCAGATTGCCGTGGAAGTGTTGGAAACCACTTCGAGATTTTGCCGCCTTGGTAGCGTAATAACAACCGACCAGCAGACGATCTGTGAGCTGCGCAGCCGCTTATCGAGGGCGTCTGCTGCTTTTGACAAGCTAGAATGCCGTGTGTGGAACATCCACTAGCTCCCTGTTGGGACGAAGCTGTTTCTATATGCGTCTGTGGTGCTGTCCGTTATTCTAAACGGCAGTGAAACCTGAATGCTTTATCGGAAGGATGTCAGATATCTGAAGCGCTTCCATCAGCGGTGTCTGCACCGCATTATGCGCATCGGTTGGAGTGACCGAATTGCAGACACTGAGGTGCTCCGACGCAATGGCATGTATACAGTGGACTGCATAATTCTGCTGAGGCGCCTGAGGTAATTCGGCCATATGGATTCGACCCGGATACCGAAACAGCTGCTTTATGGCCAACTGAGTGCAGGGAAACGGCACGTGGGAAACCCGAAGTTACCATACCAGTATATGGTCACGTTCTAATGTTGATTGCAGGTAATGGGAATCGAAGGCGGTTTATCGGCGTGCATGGCGCGATCTGAGCACGAAGGCAGTTGCCGAGGTGCAAGAGAAAGTTGACGTGAATACAGAGAAGAAGCTCAACTGCGGAAGCTACAGGCGCCGATAGGGTGTACTCCATCGAGGTCGAGCTCATGGTATGGTCATGCATGCGGTCACGAATGCTTGAGTCAGGCAGGTTTAGGAAGCAACGAGCGAAACCACTCGGGTCCAGCATCGAAACTACGACGAGTCTTGCTGAGAACGTAAGCAGAACCGGCGCAGCGTTGTTACCTACGCTGCATTCGACTTACTAACCGCGTGGTTGTGTGCTGAGTTTCTTTATTTTAGGTGGGTGGTTTGCTAGCTTGTCCTAGTGTTATTTTCTTACCTCATTTTAATGTATACCTGAATAATCTATTAATTACACAGTTCGCTTAAACTAAAGGTGGCTAACTTCGTTTATTTTCATCTCCTTACCTATGTGTCTTGATCCTTTTTTTCTGCCTTCCTGAATCTATCACAGCTACTTTTATAATCCATTTATTTCATATGCTAATTTTTCGTCTTATCCGTGTGGTGTGTTCGTTCCATTTTATTCAAAATTTCATTTCATGTGATTGGCTGTTGTTTGACATCCCCGGGGTGATTACGCTTGATGTGCATGTTGACAATGTGCCTACTCGTCTAATATTCACTACATCGTCCATACTGGCTCCAGGAGACAGTTGGGCCTTTCTGGAGGGGACGGGGTGCACGGTCTTTGTGGCCATGCTAGGCTCGAAGAGTAGTTCCATGCACTCAGTGTGGAGCGGACCACGGTCCAGCCACCGCCTCGTGTGCACTTGATTCCCAAATACAGGGTGCCTGTGTTTAGCCTGTGAAGGAACGTGGGCCGTATCCGTTGATGTAACCTGGCTCCGATCCACATGACTCCCGGTCTTATTCCTTTATATGGGTTGTGTGGTTGGAGCTGTGGGTGTTGCAGCGCAAGTCACCCATGGCCCCTCTGTAGGTGCAGGTGTCTTGTGGCTGTCCCAACTATATATATATATATATATATATATATATATATATATATATATATATATATATATACCTTACTTGTCTCGATAACTTGTTGACTTTATTTCTGGATTTAGATTTTTTCCATTCCATCGCATAGTTTCAATTGCTGACAATGTGCCAATCCGGTTATCTAAGCACTAGATGAACTTGGCTTAATGGCCGATTCTTGGAGCTTATCTCACAATATGTAGCAATGTTTGGGGGTGGGCGCTCTACGTCATGCGGCAACTAATTATGAACTTGTGTTGACGGCTACCGTGGCCTATTGGCTCTAGACGCCATCCAGCTAATTAAGAGCCGTTTGTGCCTTGTTTTCGCACCCTGAACAAGTAAATTTACTGTCTTGTTTATCAAAGCATGCTAAGACGATTTTTATTTAAAACTTGTATTCCCCCTTTTGCAAGCTTCTGGTCGTTGTTAGCGTTAACAAAATACACCGTCTGAACACTTGTTTCGCTCCAAAAAATTGCTCCGCACGTGTCAATAATCGCAGTCTGGCTACCCTACCGTGCATGTTACACCTATTTAGTTCCCTCACTTATCCATTAGTGAGCTCCTACTTTGCACGGATTCGGCACAGATCCACTCGTGCCCTCGCAGTGCATCCGGCGCATACTCGTCCTTGGGCTGGTTATTAATTGGAATCATTGTTACGCGCACTTATTCCCCTGTGGGTTGTATGTGCGAGCCGCCTCATCTAGTCGCACTTGTCCACATTGTACAAGGAGGTGTGTGATTATAGCTGAGTGTACTTCAGCTCAAGACATTCGTCTGAGTACGCAGGCCCTTGGTGTCTGTCCGTAGCCACAAGTACGCAGATTTCGGACCGTTGGCTGCCACCTACCCTGCTGCTAAAATCTGGCTCCATTTTGCACTAGTGCAGATAAGTGTAGATAGTTGCTGACCATACTTCTGATTATTTACTATCACTGTTTGCATCCATAGTTTCTATGCTTGAATGGTGCTGCTCAAGATCGCACCAGTGCCAACTTGGTTTCGCATTGGACACCGTTAATTATCTGGATGAATAGGAGCTGCGCGGCTTGAACACTGTCCCAATTTCCTAAATCTGTTGGTTTCAGGTCTCACTAGTTGTGAAGAGGACTATGATGAACATGATTCGTGCATCCCCACTTCACCTCAGCACTCATCCGCTTATCGGGATCATACAATGGCCGATCGATTAACGGGGACAAAGGATCTTCCTGTCACTTCGTCATCCGGTCTCTTTGGCTTTGATCTGTCTGCAGGTCGGCCCACTCGCTGCATGACCGATAGTTTAGTAGCCAATCCCGATTTGGATGCTCCGAATGCATCTGATACCTCCGATTTCAGTGAACAGTCCGACTCCGGATCACATCATGCTCCTAGGCCACGCCAGACACACTTCTCCCATTTGTCAGGACTGGCATTGTTGTCACACTCTGCTGTTAACGGTGACTACGCGAGCCAATCTGAAGGACCGCAAATGGACATCGAACTCACTGAATCCGAGGCCGACGAGGTACTCGATAGGAACTCAGGTTTCATGCATCACCACTATATTTTGGATAGAACTCACATCTAATTTTAAATTGTCTAGTAGCGAAGTCCTTAGCACGTATTTTTCACTGGTAGGCTGCACCCAAACAATGGCATAGCTTCTTTCTACTCGCTGGACTCCTTTCTCTACTTTAGACTTTCACTGAGGTAGATTCGTATGCCCACCCACCTGATTCTACCAGTTTTCTACCCCATCTACTTTTCGTGTTTGCTCTGTTTTCCCCAGGTATTCGCCTACCATGGTTGCCCCGGTGCATGTCTCAACCGACCATCTACAACGCAGGTGCCGCAAATTCTTTATGAAGGTTCACAAGCGTCCTACGCTCAACCGATTGATCAGTCATCCAACCGAGAGGTCTTCACTTCTCGTACACCACCGAAGGGACACTGGTTCCCCACTGTTCCTGGCCAGCATTTTGTCAGCGGGCGTTCTGTGTTATTACAACGCCCACAGCCACCTCGGTCCACATTGCCCGCAGTTGCCCCAGTCAAGTTACCCAACTTCCACAGGCCTCATGGTCTTTCTCCTCCCATCGCCGTCCCTCAACGCAACACCTTCCTCAGTCCACCCGAAGCCAATGGCACTTCAGAATATGACAACCTCTGTCCGAACAGCAGCTTGTTGAACAAAACCAGGCCACTGGAAACCAAATCACAATCGTGCGATAACCACCCGTCTGGTCCAATATGGAATGGCGCTTCGCCAGACGCATGCTCACTCACCTCGCCCGTGGAAGCAACTAGTGACGTGGTCAGCAAGTGTGTCAAACTCTACTGTTGTGTTTCATTTTACGCTGCATCTCTGTGTTCTTAGCGTCACTCACCTATACCGCACTTCTTGTATGTGCGGATTCGATTCCAACCTCAAGTTCCTCTACACATAGGTTGGGACTTATAGGTTTCATCTTCTTTCTCTAAGACGCACGCTGAGATTGGACCTCAACGTAGGGCGGCACTTTGCTCACCGCTTCTGTTCATTGGCCTACACCGATCGATGTCCTCGCGTCCCCTGAGACCTATTCCTATCCAAATAGTCATTGATTACAGGTCAATGAGACCGTTTGGTGAGCAATCGCTTTCAATGCCTCATCATCAGACCAGTACACTCATATATAACGCTAAAAAAGAAAGGGTATAGGTCAGACAAACTCGTTCATCTAATCCCCCAAGTCGTGATTTAGGACTGAAATGATACCCATTTCTCTGAGACGGAATCAGTACCATCTTCCCACTACCTTACGGTCGTGTTGTTGAGCAAACGTCTGTCTCTAAGTAGCCTACTCGTTCGCCTGTCTATATTTGGGCGCCCTGGCCTTATCCCAGCCAACGTTCAACCATGAATAAACGAAAGAATCATCAGCTTCCAGTTGCATCTTACATTAGCCGTCTTACAATCTCAGACGAGTCACTTTGTCTGCTTCATCCGGAAGGGCGGATCGGCAAAACATGCTACACTTGGTGCTTTTTTTGTATATTTATCCCATTACTTTCCCTACCCATATTATTGTCCTTCCTTCCACAGTTTCCAGCTTAGTTGATGGCAGCTGCACTGCCACTGGTGTTTTGCCATCTTCAGTTGTATTCATGCAACACCCATTGAACTCATGCCATAAACAGTCCAGCTTATCCCGTTTCCCTGATGGCATTAAGCGTTTGTACCCCAACACCGCGTGGTCAGCAGGCCTCACTTATTCGCAAATTGGACACCCTCAATGTTGACGTGTGATGTGTCCGAAACTAGGATCAATAACCATCACACGCCCATCGAACTAGCTTCGCGCAGCCTTCCCCTCTTGCTGTTATTTACACGCATCCGAAGAGGTTGATGATGTCAAGCTGGGCTGGAAACCCTTCTCATTTCCAGTGCTTGGGTAACCGTCTGTGTGCAACACATTTGAATGCATCCACCAAGGCTAGTGCACGGAGCAGCGCTAGAAGCCGTCCATTTGTCATCTTTGCCTGTGTCCCAACCGACTGCAGTCTCGATGCTGTCAGTGATGCCTTCCACCACGAACTTAAACGCACTGCTTTGCAATGTCACTATTCTAACTATCTTTGTTGTTGCAAGGGATATGAATGCATAAATAGGTCATCTGCGATCCTCAGAGGCTCAACTCTGAACCCATGAACAACGTCAAGCGTTTGATGCAGTTGCGTACCGATCGCCCTCTTCATCCCTAAGCAATACAGCTTTCGTGTATATTGGACTAGTACCTGCGGCTTGGTCTCCTGTGGTACCTGACCACCAATGAACCAAAACACATCACGGCACCACGTACTTCCATCCTAGACCATCGCTCATTCCAGAACATGTGTCTTAGCAGATTTTCGATTTTTCATGACTTTTACCGCGACATAGTTCAAATGTTGCTATTGCTCAGGGACCGAGAACTTATCCCAGCCATCACTTAGGTAAAGCAACCAGGACAGCCTAAACATCAGGCCTTCACCTACTTACTCCAAGGATATCGATTTTGGTTGGAGTCGAATCTCGATCACCCTGCAGAGTACCACAACATATGGATAAACACAATGAAACGATATTGAAGAGAGAAAGAGGAAGAAAAAACTGTAAAATTTTAGTTGTGGAAGTTGAGCCTCACAACATGTTCACCATTGTACCCGATCTCTTGCTGTGTCCGAGGGGGTTTCCAGCCATGTGTGTTTGCGGTCCCTACGTCCTCATCTAGAGAGTCGAGTGCGCTCGACCGCGGCCAAATTTGAGGTCATGGCCCTCATACTTTGAGCTTAAGTCATTCATTGGCCATGTTTTCATTTTCAGCCGACTTCTGCTCGCGCAAAGAGTGCATCGCGAAGTAAGCGTTACGTAGGCATGTGAAGCACTTGCCCAAGTCATCAAACCATGTGCAGGGAAATTGTGCAGCTCAGTGACCTGCAAAGTCTGTCTGGTCTGGAACTCCTTCGACGAATCTCCACGTTACTTATGTGAAGTTGCCATTGTACACCAGCAGTACTCCGGTCAATCAATCAATGCACGCTAGCTTAGGCTGAGAAACACACCTCAGCTGATGTGCCGCAGTACCAAAAGGATAGGATATTGAATATTACAGAGTAAGAAAACTAGAAAATAAGTACTATAACGCTAAATATCGTGTTATGCACTAGGCATGAGATCGTTTTTTGAGCGGAATGACAAAGAAACTCACAACACAACCGCCATTTTAGCCGGCTCATCGCTAGTGTATCAGCCAAACTGGTGCATCGGCAGTCGGGATGCACCAACCGACGCCAACTCCGAAGTGAGAGTTTTCATTCCTCTCGACCAACTCATCGCTTGGCATCCACTTCTTCCATCCAGACTCCGGGCGCGCAAACAATGCGCCACTCAGTAGTCGGTGTGCTGACATATGCAACACTTCGCTCACCCATCAGAGTCTGGTGCGTGATATCAGAGCAATGAGTGATTCCCACCCTCTTCTCACACCAATTACGGGACGCCGAACACCTTCATTGCTCCGTGGTGCCAACTGTATGCTTCGGGTTACCTCGTCCCAGAAAATGGTTCTGCGGCAGTGTTCCAGAACGTGGTGGCTTTTCACCTGGCAAGCGTTCGCCTTGTAAAAACCTCGCATATGTCTGTTTAACAACAATGCGAAACCGCGGATTTTACTCGCTACTAAATAAAGCCACTGCCCCTTGCTTTATCCCGACGGAGCATTTTATTCTTGCTACTGTATGCTATCTTCAAGAGGAAATTTGGCCCCAGTTTGGGAACTTCCCAAATAAAGGCGAGACACCAGTCACTGGCTGCTAATGAGTGTGCTTCCCTGGATTCGCTGCCGTCTTGCAGGTAGGCTGTTGAACCAAATTGGGGAGTGGGGTCCCCTAAGTCAGCTCACTACTTCGGCTTGGGCAACCGCGTAGTATCACACTCTTTGCAAAAAAGGGCGGTTTTCGCTGCTTCTTCGCCACACTTTCTCGTCCCTGTCTCCGTTACGTCCCACCTAACTCCATCAAATGCCAACCATTAATTCTTGTTACTCCCAATTTTGTCCAGATGCTGGTTTTACTACTGCCCAGACCCTCTTGTCTGAGGCTATCCTTCGACCAGGATGCTCGTTTCGGCTGTCAACCTTTAATGTTCGAACACTTATGCAGATTGGGCAACAGGCCGGTTTGGTACGTACTCCGAGTTCCCTCACTGTTGATGTCTGATGCCTTACTGAAACAGGGCTGGAGGACCTAAGCGCTGTGCTCAAATTGACATCCACGACCAACCAGGAAGACACTACAACCTGTTTGTCTGGAGATGCGTAAGCATAAACAGCTGGTTTAACTGGCTTTGGTGCGGTATTAAGCAGCAAAACAGAGGTCGCACTACCTGATTGGTTTCCGATTAACAGCCGACTATTTGCACTTTGGCTTCAAGGCACATACAGGGTTAACAAACATCGCACTGAAAGGCGTGGCCTGTTTGTGTTCTCTACTTATGCGCCAACCGATTGTAGCCATGAATCAACCAATGACGATTTTATCGTCAACTCCATCAGCTGTTACGTAAAACCGCCAAATCCGAGGTTGTTGTCTTCACAGGAGACTTTAGCGCACGAGTTGTTCGTCTGAAACCAAGTGAATTTCACTTGGCTGGTCACCACGCACTGAATGAAAATCGCTCAGATAACGGAACCAGGCTTCTTAATTTGTGTGAAGACAACGGTTTTGTACTCGCAAGCACAAACTTTATGCACTCCATGTGACACGCTGCAACTTGACGTCCTACTTTATCAACACAGCCTACGTCCCAAATAGGCTACATTGCAATCAGTTCCAAATGGCGGGGCGGCATACAAGACTGAAGATCATTTTGGACTACTTGTCTTGATTCAGATCCCGCTTCCTTCTATGTAAACTTCTGCATGCGATTCGGAGGGCGTTCGAAATGGAAGCACTGTAGACTTGGTACGAACGGGTTAACTGATCCTTCGGTTCAGTTAAATCATCCACGGTTATTGATAAACACTTTACCTTGTGTTCCACTCATTGACACTGAACATCATTACAGCTTCCTGCATTATGCAATGCTAAAATCGGGCCAATGAGACTGCGAATTAACTTATCACCCTTCGAAGGGTTGGATCTCTGCACGCTCCCTAGCACTGTTGAACCGCCGCCACACTCTCCCAGTAAACTCAGGCCATAATAAACTTCTCCGCATTGTCACCCGGGGAACTTAAACGAAGATTTCGCGATAATCGAAAAGTTTGTTGCTCCCAACGTGCCTTAGCGAGAAGTTATCTCTTGGTATCGCGAAATGCCGTTCGACATTTGCAAACTTGGTGCATTCGTGGCGTCGTCGTGACATTTCACTCACATTAAATGGTAGGGTCTACAGTGCCAATGTCCGCGCATTGCGCTTGTATGGATGCGAACCCAGGCCACTCCTTGTAGATGACATGCTTTCGGTCTTTGACAACGGCTGTTTGCGAAGAATCACCCGCGTATTCTGGCAACATCGCGTGTGCAATGATGATGTCGGACACTGCGTCTTGGGCAAGACTGGTCTCCCCATCTGTGAGGTTGTTCTGCTACGCCAGCTGAGATGGGTTGGCCATGCCCCCCCCCTATTTGCGTTTGCATGGCCTCATTGGAAGATGCCGCCTGGTGGCCAGCCGACTACTTGGCGATAAAGCATGAAAACCTTGACATCTTGCCTAGCCATCGCCAACGCGGTACGTTTACCCGGTTGGGGACTCAGGAATGAAGAATGCTAGTAGCTCACAACGTTCGAGGTAATGGCGCGGAATCGGATGCATTGGATGCAATGCACGGAAGTTTGCTTGGATTCCTCATTTAGATAACATCAACTCTTGCAAAAGGTCATGTGATAAAATACGAAAAACGATGGTCTTCATTTCCCCTAATCATCCATTCTTTTTCCACATGTCGGACAGTCTACTACTTTTATTTGTTTCCTAACCACGTGGTTTTGTATGGTTCGAAGTCTACTCCGATAAACCGAGGAATACATATATATATATATATATATATATATATATATATATATATATATATATGATTGGCGGCATCCGGTTTCTGATTTGCCTGTCACTGCGGCCAGCCACAGGACGCCTGCGCCTACAGAGGGACTATCGGTGGCTTGCGCTGCACCACCCACAGCTCCAACCACATACCCCATATCCAGTGTAAACCCGAAGGAATGAGACCGGGAGGCATGCGGATGGGAGCCACGTTTCGTCAACAGAGCCGGCCCACACTCCTTCACAGGCAAACACAAGCACGCTGTATTTGGGGAATCAAGGGCACACAAGGCGGTGGCTGGACCGTAGTCCGCTCCACACTGAGTGCATGGAACCATTCTTCGAGCCTAGCAGGACCATAAGGACCGTGCACCCCGTCCCTTTCAGCAACGACCAACTGTATCCTAGAGCCAGTATGGACGAGGTAGTGGGTAATAGAGAGGTAGGCACCTTGTCAACATGCACATCAAGCGCAGCCACACCGGGGATAACAAGCAACGGCCATTCACTTGAAACAACAAGAAGAAATAAAACAAATCCAATAATGCTTACAGATACGGTGGCATAACTCTTCGCTAATTTGGCATTTGAATGAAGTAAGTTGGTTAGTAACGAATCCGCGATAAGGCAAAATGTCCACAAGTTAGTTAAAAATGCTACAGACGCAACAATGTTACCGAAGATAAGCGCAATTAATGTAAGCAACGTGGCCAGTTAATAGAAGAGTATTCAGGTAGGCAGCACAAACCAAATAAAGTGGAATGAAATTTAGCCAGCTTGAGATGACCTAGTTTAAACGTAAGTTTTTTTAGCCCAACTGCGGTAAAGAAGCATCAAGAATGCAACATCAACCTCAGCATGAGGCTATATATATATATATATATATATATATATATATATATATATATATATATATATATATATATATATATATATATATATATATATATATATCATTGCGGATTCGGTGTTCCCATAAGGCTTGAGCTTGGCGCGAACGAAGCCAAAATATTTATGTCTGTCGACCTGATGAGCTCGATTTCATAACTGTACAGGAGATTTGAACGGGCGGCCGCATTGTAAGCTCTGCCCTTCAGGACGAGAGTGATGTCACGCCAGCGCCAAAGGTGGCGGCGATTGGCAAAAGCGCCTCTAGCTTTTGCTATACGGTTCATGATGTCATCTTCGATCCCACGGACACTAATATAGCTGCCCAATTATTTACATTTATGAACGACTTCTATCTGATCCTCACTAAGGGTCAGCACATGGGTGGGTCCATGCCAATCTTAGAGAAGTCCTTTGCCTTTCATGTGTGCAAAGCGTAACTCAAAACAACTAACAGTCAATGCGAATCTGTCTAGTGCTGCTTGGAACGTTTGGGAGATGTCACCGATGTTTGCAAATTCATCGGCATACTCCACGTCAAGAAGTCACTCACCGGTAAACAGCTCCATGACATCGCCAATGGCGAAGCGATGGGTGTATCACGATAGCTAGGACCGCCTTCTGAAACTTGCAACATCTGTGACGCTGGAAGGGTATTCCCCTCTAATCGAAAGACCGTGTGTTCAGGGCCCTGGTGAAGGCCGTTCTTCGTTATGGGCACGAAACTTTGTTTCTTCGGCTTGGGGTCTGCAGCACTTTCCAATCTTTGATCTTTATTGCCTGCTGAATATTTTTGGTGTCGGATGGCACCAACGTATTCGTGACGATGATAGCATCTAATTTAGCTCTTTCGAGCAACAGATCAGGTTCACTTACTTTGACTTGGGCACATATTGTGTATGCCTAGTTTAGTCTGTCGGATAATTGATGTTACAAAATTCAGGGTGCACAGAAGTTGACTTGGCAGCAGGAACTTAAGACGTTGACGACTAAACTAGGTGTTGTTTTTCTCACCCTATAAGCCGTAGTCATTGCTACCCACCATGTTCTTGGATCGAGACCTTACAAGACATCGCTCTCAGCATGTGCCACTGACGTATATGTCTGTGTCCATCTGTAGAGAAACTGTGTCTGATGCTGCGTTATCTGTAGACTAAGGATGGTTCTGAGAAGGAACAGCGGAAGCCACAGGAGATCTGTTAAACTTCGTCGTGGACTGCATCATGGAGTGTTCCCTTCTGAGCCTCACGACGCAGGCGTCGTGGTGCTGCCTGATGAAGCTAGTTGATCTTGGTTTTGCGGACAATATTCCCTTGGTTTTTAGCGATTTTATGGCGGCACAACCCTGAATAACCTCACTGGTGTGGTCCCATCATTTGGCATGCGCTTCGCACCTTCAACGTGTGTAGTGCTGTTATAGGATCACCAGCCGCTTAATGACGTCGAACTCCAGGTAGTTGATTAGTTCAGCTACCTTAGCAACTGCATCAATAACGACGGGCGCAAAACGACTGAAGTCAGTTCACGCATTACAAAAGCCAGAACTGCTTGAACCTGCGGCATCTTTGACGACAGAAGATAAATTTTCTCCGTCTCAAAGGTCGTTTATACTAGGCCACACTGAGAGCCGTCCTGCTCTCTGCTAGTGAGACTTGGCCCCTCCGATCTGAGGACCTGTGGTATCTTCAAATCTTTGATCATCGCTGTCTGCTGAGCATTGCTGGTGTCGGGTGGCATCAGTGTGTCCGCAACAATGATGTACGTAGGCGAGCACTAGGCAGGGCTGACCCGGCTATTTCCTTAGCACAACAAATAGCACTGAATAAGTTGCTTTGGTTTGAGCACCTACTATCTATGCCTGGTCACCGCTTACCGACGAGGGCGTTGTTTTGTTTGCCAGATGGATGTTGGCGCAAGGTCTGAGGTGGATAAAATTTAACTTGACAGCGGGAAATGAGGTCACTGACGAACAAACTGGCTGCTGTCCGTCTGTCTCGCCTTCTAGGCTGGAGTCCACATGACCCGCCTTGTGCTTGGTTTGAGATGTTACAGGACATCGCTCTCAGTCGACACCAGGTGCGTGTCTGCTATCGTCTCCTAGTCGGACTGCCTGTTTAAAGTGTGTTTCGTGCTGAGTTATCTGTGGGGTAATGGCTGATTATATTGCAGGGCAATGAATGCCGCAAGGAATCTGTTTCGGCCATGCCGCCTTACCTTTGCACGATAGTCAGTAGTTTGTGACGGTGTGTTATTGACAAGGTGTACGCGCCTTGAGCCTGCATATTTGTTTAGGTCATTAAGGTTCCCCTTCTCTCTCTCTTATTGTTCTTCTTTCCGTAGGTCGTTGTGGTTGTACTGCAACGAAGCATCAGTTCAAATGGCTGATGTACTGCTGTTGATGATGATGATGTTGCTGATGACAGGGTATCTGTATCCTCTATTCCGTCTTACCTCTGCACGCTAGTCAGCCATTTGTGACGTCGTTGACAAGGCGTAAGCACCTTGACCCCGAATGTTCGTTTAGGGTGTTATTGTTTTACCTCAGTTCCATTTTCTCTCCCTCTTATTATACATCGATATATTGGTTTTATGATCTGCCTTTTGGCATGCGACTCCGATTGAACTGAGCTCGTTCTCTGCCAGCTCCGAATCCTAGCCGAAGTCAGATGTCAACCCTGAGGCAACACGCATGTTGCAAACGCAGTTACCGAAATGGATACAAGTAGTGTGAAATCAACCGACATTTATAGGGTCATGTTTCGGAACAGCTAGATCAACTGTCTTGGTTGGCAGATCAGTTCCTTTGGCCAATGGGAAGATTGGTGCGCATGTCGGGTGGACACGAACGTTCCTGAAACGACTTGCTGTCGGCCTTGTACCCTTATTGGCTCAGTTTGCTTTCTCATTGAATCAATGAGTTTCCCTCGGGAGATTCCCTGATAGTTGGTCATTCTGAGTGTACTGCAGCGGAGCATCATTTTATGTTGCTGATGTACTATTGCCTAGCCATTAATCAAACATTCCGCCTTTAAACGCTAAAGGATATATTACCATTTTACTGAATGACCTGGTCCATCCTCTGCACACGAACGTCGGTCCACTCTTCTCATGCCGGTTATGTGCATTTAGATATGATGGTGGTGCGTCCGCATCTATCTATGATTCGGGAGACGATGAGGAAGACGCCCTTGCAGCTGATGCGGTGGCTCCTCACCAACCTGTCGAACCTCTGGTCAATGGGGTATCAAGTCGTCATCACTCGGTCTCTCCAATAAGTGTTGAACCTTCCAAAAACTCTATTCTTCCTCCCAGTAAATTACCAGTGCCTATCGACCCCAGGTGGCCCGTCACGTCCAACGCAATCCAACTCCAACACACGCCTAGCAGCGCTGGAAGTCACACTAGTAGCATAGATCAACAAAGGTAAGTTTTTTGTATTCTTGCTCCTCTCTTTTAGTTTTTACCATCGAACGAATTGTACCTCTTCTTGTTGGGATTAGAAATACCGTTATCCAATGATTGAAGGAATGAGCTATGTGATTGTAGGATCATTTTGAAGTCCTACTTGTGTGATTGGATTGCGACGCACAATCTCAATGTGGACTGTGATTCGCAATGAAACGAACTTCGGTCCATTCGATCGCCGGGACCGTAGTTGAAACAGATGGAAATTAGATGTTGCTTCCCTCCCCCCTCTAAAACCATGTGCCCCATGACACGTTTCGACATTGTTTGATCTCATCTGGTTGAAATAGCACATCTCGAACACAAATATTTCTCGACGGCGCCTGGTCCAGTGCACTAACTAGTCTGACGTATCTACAGCGATATCGCATAAAATAGACTATTGGTCAATTTGTTCCAGCGGTTTCCCAAACACGTTTTCAGTGTCGTCGGCCAGTTAAATGTATCAAAACGACGGAAAGGTTGACATTAAGAATAGGGATGGATACATCCCAACGGCCATCCATGGAAGAACTGTATCCTGGAAATCTAGTCCCTTGCGGGGTAGTGCCTCGAAATTCTTTCTCTGTACTTCTACGTCTTATTTGATTGTTTACCGGTGTGGCTTAAAAGCAAATAACACCGCATTAAGTCCTCTTTGGAGCCGTTAGTTGCATATAGCATGAGTATTTAGCCACCCAGCCCATTCAAAAATTCAGCTCTTTCTAGTTAAACGCTTTTCTTACACACCAGTAAGTCTGTGGCAGTTTATCTTGCGTGGGGTGTAAACGGTTGACTTGAAATCTTCAGTCCGTCACCTCAGGAGATCGGATTAGTTATGGTCAAAAATAAAGACAAGTAAAATATATGCATTTGTGAACTAACAATAGTAACTCACTGGTACCTTTCTCTCTAGTAGAAGACAAATCGATGGTACACAAGGATCAAAGAAGACATATAGCAGTTTCAGGGGGTTATGAACGAGGCAGATCTCAGGAGATTCTCCAGCTAGATTCATCGGTAGCATACACTAGAGGAGCAAATGAGTGGATATCGAAATTGATTTCGTGGGACACTAAGATCTGCCAGGTGCATCCGAACTGTTGCCTCCGTGGAAGAAGAGGAAAGCGTTAGCAGAGAGGTCAACTGTAGACAAATTATGAAGACAAGTTTGAGCCTTAGTTAGCTTAAAGATTTAATCAAACGAATACTTCTTGTCCTTATACCAAATGATATTGCTGGCGCTACTTTTGACACAAAGATTCAGCAAACCGTCATTAAATTGATTTCACGGTGTTTTCTAACGTAATAACTATCGAGTCAGACGACAGAAGATGATCACTCGGCATGCAACTCGAAGCACTTATTTCCTATGGTGATTCATTTGTCGAATTCGGTCTCAAGCTCTTAATAGCTCTTTCTACACTTAAAAATGAATGTGTTACTTTACCAGCCTTAATCGCTGACTGTATTTCACATAACTCATTTGGAACTCTGTTCCATAATATTGAGTATCAGCTGAGGAAAATGTTTTCGGACTCTTCGTTCTTGACATTTCGACGATCACTGTGTTATTTGTTGTTTCTTTTGTGATACCGTGCCGGAACACGGAAGGGTGTCAACACCTGCTGTAGCACGAAGGAGAACACTTGTGTTCACCCCTCGTCATTTAGAGTAAACTCATCGCACAGCCATTCCATCGCTGCATTCATCGAATTTTCGTCTTTCACTATGGTCGGTTCGTTTTCTCGCCCTGTAGAATCTTGCTCGAGCTTCGATGTTGAATAGCATCCTCGCAATTGGCTCGAAGCTTTGGCGGTTTAGCACTATGTTTGAGTCCATCAGGACTGTGGATATTCACAGAAACTCGTTCAACTTCTACACACTGTGGTGGTGGCTGATCATTTAGGCGAAGGAGACCGACGCTGCCAATCGGTCGTCGCCGAAGCGGTAGTTGTACAAGCCGAATAGCAAAATCAGAATTCTTGCGGCCTAGAGTGGATAACTCATAGCTGTGCTGAACAAAAACGAAGCGGGTCAGTCGGACACTAGAGAATTGATCCGGTTAGGCGTAAGTCAACTTGTACGCGGCTGTAGACAAGGCAGAATTGGGTTAGAACTAGCCGAGCGTGCGCGGACCACTGAACGGAGAGAGAGGGCAAAGTGAAAAATATCAAGTGTGAAGCCGTCGCACCTCCAATTGATGTACAGTACAAATGATGCTTCACTTTACGAGTATGAGATTTTGTTCACTGTTCAGACTTAGCTGTTGGTGGGCTACACGACATACCCTCGTAAACGGCTGGATGATGAGTCTATAATTTGACACACGGACTACACATTTCATCACCGACTTCCCAAAACTTTCAGGCCTTTCTATACATTGTTCTCGTACTTTTGCAACGGTTTTCCGAATGATTTGATGATAGACGTACATCTCTGTTTTTCGGTACTATAAATCGTACGTGTAAAAGTCAGGTGTCCCTCACCAGCCTAACTCTCCTTTTCTTTGCTAGGTGCTGAGTAGCGCATATGGATCCTGTTTCAATCCCTCGCCACTCAAACTGCGTTGAAGCATGCTTGTATCTCATTTATGTTTGTGCTACGATATCTTAGGGCTTCCCATTTAGGTTTCTGTATTGTTGATGCTGAGCTTCTGTTCCGTCATCATCTATCTTCCTCGGGGTCACCGATATTTTGAATTTCGGATGGTTTACGTGACGAATTGCACTGGGATGGTTTATTGCGGCAGCTGATTATTTAGTTTGATATCCTCCTACGAGGTTCCCGTTCAGCATACATGGTTGGCGACATCCGGTTCCGGATTTGCCTGTCACTATGACCTCTATAGAACAGTCACGGGATGCCTGCACCTACAGAAGGACCACGGGTTGCTTGTGCTGCACCACCCACAGCTCCATCCACACACCCCATATCCAATGTAAACCAGGAGGAATAAGACCGGGAGACATGTGGATTGCGGTTGGGTTTCATCAACGGAGCTGGCTCACAGTCCTTCACAGGTAAACACAAACATGCTGTATTTGGGGAATCATACTGTCACAGCGGCGGACTGGCTGACTACAATAGCACACTCTGGCAGGGCGAGACAAACCAGACCACGTGAGCGGCTGACAGACTCGTTGCCATGATCAAACAGGAAGCTGATGAAATCAGACCACCATCGCCGCGTGGGTTACTATGATTCGGACATGATTGTACCTACAGCCAAACAGTGAAGGCCGCTACCAGCATCGAATCTGCCCAGACAATAGATGTGGTTCACCTCAGTAACAGACCGGTGCGGTAAGAGCATGTGACCTATAAAATTAACCATGTTCTGTGTCTAATACACTTCGGTCTAGCAGGTTTCGGTGTTCTGTTTGTCTCCGGCTGAGTAGGCAGTGACAGGGAGCAGAGGGAAAGCATCGATACAACACATGCTCACACCACGCGTTGGCTGGACCGTTGCCCACACCACATTGAGTGTATGGAACCACTCTTCGAGCGTAGCGCGGCCACGAGAACCGTGCACCGCGTCCCCTCTAGCAATGACCAACTGTCTCCTGGAGTCAGTATAGACGACGTAGTGAGTAATAGACAGGTAGGCATCTTGTCAACATTCACAAACGCATCCACACCGGGGATGTCAAACAACAGTCAGTCACTTGGAAGGACGATGTTAAATAACAAAATCGGATAAAGCACACGGATATGCCGACCTACTTTTCGCTAAATGAGCATATGAAATAAGTTGCTTATCAACAAAACCGCGATACGTTCAAGCTGACAGAAAAAGAAATTTAAAACTGCGACAAACGCGATGTTAACTAAGTTAACCACAATTAGCTTAAGCGACATATGCAAGTTAATAGAAGGTTAACCAGGTCGACAATAAAATGAGGTAAAAAAAGGGCATTAAGACACGGTAGCAAATCCAGCTGAAATACAGAAACTCAGCACGCAAGCACGAGGCTAGTAAAACGAATGGAAGCTCATGCAGCCTACCTACCAACGCTGCGCTGGTCATGGCTACGTTCGTTTAGATACTTGTCCCGAATGGCTTCGCTCATGACTCCCTAGACCTTCCGCATTCATGCAGTCGCGACCGCATGTCCTGCGGCACTGTGCGCTTGAAGTCGATGGAGTATACTCCAATGGCGCCTGTCGCTCCTGCACCTACCGCTTCTTCTCCGCATGCACCGGAGCTTCCACCTGCACCTCGGCAACGGCCTTCATGATCGGATCGCGCCATACATGCCGATCAACCGCCTTCGATTCTCAACATCTGGAATCAAAATTAGAACTTGATAGGCTCATTTTGATCCTAGTAACGGAGTTTCGGTTTCCTCACTTGCTGCTTCCCCACACTCCGCTGACCATATAAAAGCTGCTTCGGTATCCGCATCGATTCCATACACCCCACATGACCGAGCCACCTCAGGCGTCCCGGCAAAAGTATGCAGTCCGCTGAACACATTCCATTTCGGCGCAACACCTCTGTGTCTGCAACTCTGTCGCACCAACCGATGCGCAGAATTCGTCGCAGACAGTTTTAATGAACCGCTCGAGATATCTCACGTATCGCCGGTACATCGTCCACGTTTCGCTGCTGTTCAGCATTCACCGATGTAATAAATATGCCATCTCCTTATATTCATCAAAATGCCGTTCTTGGACGAAATCTGTAAACGACTCTGTCACGGCTAGTTAAATCCACCGACACTTGTTATATTTTAGCTCCCCTTTGCTCTTCTTCCTCTGTCTCTCGAATGTCAATTGAGCATACTCTTCTTCCAAACGTATTCTTTTAAGTTTTCGTGGGTTCGAATCAATGTTGTATTTGTCCTATAGGACTCGACCAGTGGCTCCTTTGTGCTTTGTTCGTAATCCGATCATTACATTGGGCTGCATATATTTGATCTTTATGACCCATCTGTTTCAACTAAACCTCTGATTGCTTTTACTATCTTCCAGAGCTATTCAAAGTGAACACGAGTGTTTTGCTTGTTTTTTCCTACGAATACGGGCTTACGCACCAGACTGTTATCGCTCTTCAAGCATTTTCACATGGCATGATGTGCACCAATCACAAAGCATAGGTTCACGCCTTCACATCTAGGCACTTCAATTTCAGTTCATTTCACGTAGCGTACAGCTTTTTATATCAGTTGGCCTTCGATTCGGGAGCGCTTTCTCGGATTTAACCTTGACCTCGTATAAATGCTCTTTTCACCGAATCACGCGTCATTGTTGTAAAAATCCTTTGTGAATCCTCAAAACGAATCTTTTTCTTTATTTTAGGTCTGAATACGACAATGTCGACCGTTCCCACTCTCCGGCACCTGTTGTGCCCCGATCCGCGCCTAGTGTAACTCGTGCTGATACTACGAAAGAAATCTCTTTCTCACAAAAACCTAGATCAGGTCATATTTCGCGTCGCAGCGGATCATTCGGTGAACATCCCGAGCGGTGCTTCGGCCGCGGAGGGGGTGGTCGTAATTTGTGGGACGCGGAAATCGCTGCCGAAGCTCGCCGGATCAGTCACCAGTTCCGTGCCATGGGTTGGCTTCCGACTTCCAGCTATATTACGCTGTCAGCAGGTGTATCACCAGCTGAGAAGCGTAGAGCTTTTGTGGGCACCGCTACAAATCTACCCTTACCAAGTGAGTCTGTTTGAACTTAGAACTGGTTTGCGGTCTAACTCTTACTTGTGCTTTCTCACAATTCTAGTCTTAGGTAGCTCCTGTTCGTTTATCTTATCACGCCTTCGCTCACCACCTTTATTATCCCGTGCTGTTATTTTCATATTTTTTAAACTAATTTTTGAATTTGGAATATGTGTTATCATTAACGGGTGCATGTGCTGCCTAAGCGCACAGTTGATACGCTCGAAGCGCTGCTACCTACCGCACTTTGTCCGCTCGCAAGCAAAAATCTACGCCTTCTGTTATGTGAGCGCTAATCGCAGTTCTATATCGGATTACAACCGTTCCAATGCGTCATTGGAATTTAGAGGAATTATCCGGTCATCGATACAAAAGCAAATAGTGACTGCCTAGGTAATTTACTTGGCGGTTGGCCATCGTTTTTCTTACGAGAACACACTCACACACTGGACCTAAAGTCCGCATTCTGACTTTCTATCACATTTCAGTTATCTATTGCCCTTTTGGTATCCACACTTGCTCGCGTTGCGGTTTTAGGTAGCAAATTCAACGGCGCACATGGCCAGTCAAATTGTGGTCACGAACTGGCACCGACTCATTTGTTCCTTATACCCACGGGCACCCAGACGAGCACTCCATGCTCGAGGCACGCTTCGCTGGGTTATCGCAACCGCAGATGTCTAGGTACTTTGGACAGCGATACAGTGACCAGTGTTACCTCCCAGTTTGACGAGGATCGGGACTACCTGTACGATTCCCCGGATGCCAGTGAGCTGGAGTGTGGCGGAGTCAAGACAACGGCTTCCGGTAAGTGTGTTCACATCACCTATGGATTTGTTGCTAGGTGCACCATTGTCTACTCATTTACAAGCTATTAATCTTTTCTATTTCATTTCACACACACACACACATAGCCAACGGTTCGTGTGTTTTCGGATCCCTTTCCGTCCGAGATTTGGGCTGCATCATGATTCGGCCCCGATCTCTAAGTGCAACCTGCTTGAACACGCTTTCTGCTTTGGAACAGTATGAGGTGTTTGCCAAACGCGCCTTGCTACCCAGTTCCCCATCAGAATTGAACTCAAGTGGAAGTGAGTCCGATGAGCATGTGGGATCATTTGACAAAACCGTCCTGAGCAACAACGCTACCTCGGAGTGAGTCTACTGCGATAAGCCCATTTGGTTTGACGCCAGTTTGCGCCTCTTTATTTACCTGAGACGAAACTACCATTCCATTCTATTCTCTTACAGGGTCGAAAATAACCACTCACCGTGTCTGCGTGATTCAGCGTCGCGGCCCAACGCTCGTCAACGCCACGCGGTACGCCGCACCAAATCCACTCTCCCCACTCACCCGTCCGCCCGAGTGAATCGCGAAGACCGTAGTCCTGGTTTTTCGCGTCTCCAGCGCCGTGCCGCACGCGTACGAAGTCTCATTCCACCAGAGTTACAACCGTACATTTTACCCGGTTGTATGAGCTCCCTCAGTCGTTCATCCTCGATCGCGAGCCATGTGAGCCATGGTCAAACCACGGATTTCGTCTTCCTTTCCCTGCTAGATGGAAAGTCATCCTCTAGATCGCATGACTGGAACGCAGCTCGTCGATCCGGCCACCTTATCCGATCTACTAGCGATCCAGAACTGTGTGTTCGGTCGATCTCAACCGGGCGGATACACGCGTGCCCTTCGAGGTTCACCGAATTACCGGACTCTCCGCTATGACTTGATTTTGTGTATTAAAGTGCACTATTTTTCACTGACAAGGACAACACACTCAACTGAACTGCATTTATTCAGTTTTCCACTGCTTTATAGGTAACAAGTTTTCAAATTAACCTGGTGCTCTCTTAATTCATCTCCTCCAACTCGTCTGCCATTTTGTTAAATTACCGTACTGAATTTTCTAAAGTAGTCGCATGTTCTCTTTAAATTGCTTTTTCACAGCATGTTCCACCCTCTCACAATCCCAGCACAGCAAAGACGTCTCCACGATTTCAACTCTCTTGCACCCTTTAAGCTACCTTTCGTATTTTAAGCTACCTTGTTTTTTGGTCTCTCACTCTTGTCCTTTTCTACTACCGTATCTATTTCTCACAGACTTTGACCAATCAATCCTGGTGCAATCGTTTCCTTACCTTCACCACCGTGTTACTTTCCTTTTGCTGATAACGGTCTTCTTCGAATGCCAGTGGCATTCTATGTTTTGATCGGGCTGCTCGATTTATCTTGTATCTTCTCCATGGAAGCATTTTTAAACCTCAATATGCTACCTAGTGTATTCTGCATATCCCTCGGTAGATACCGCTAATTTAGACCAAACTTACTGTACTTCCTGTGGGTAACTTGAGAGCTCTTCGGGCATTGTAACACACGCATCATCGACACTGTCCCTAAGGCTGAAACGATGATTTTTTCTGCATTATCCGACTTTTAGCTGCCTGGTCTACCCTCTCTCCGAAGTTTACACCGTTTCTAGCCACGCATATTTGTTGGGCTTCATCATGCATACTTACCTCCCATTCGTGCACAGTGAGGCCACCATTTCGCTTTCAACCGCTTATCTCTGTCCTCTTATCTTGGTACTTACACCTCACCGAACTTGCTTGTTTGTTGAGATAATTTCTATTAGATAATTCAAAGCCTGTTACGGCATAGGATGAACCCTTGCAGTTCCAATGGTGCTATTGTTATGGTGTTCACTGAAGGTGGTCACGCAAGCTGTCCAGTTCGTTGTTTATCTGTCCACTTACATGACGTCGAGTTGCAGCTTCCAGTTTACTTAGCTTCTTTCCTTCTGTTATTGATGCACATGGCCGAGATCAATCCGCAGTTACAGCGAAAAACGCAGTGCTCCAGCCGAGTCACTAAGCTGACTCAGGGTTTGGGCAGTGCAAACTTGCGGCAGTAGGCAGAACAATTAATACATATAAGCCGCGATTTCACAAGTGCGCGAATAAGCAAATGGATACGATGAATCCAAGATTAGGTGATCCGACTGCCTACCTCGAGCGGCACTGATTACACGAACAAAGTTATGAGTACATAACATTTGATTGAATTTTAAATGTTGCGCAGTAAAGCAAGGAGTTTCTGGAGGCACTTGAATCGTAGCATCATACAGACGGAAAAGTTCAGAACTAAAGTCGGATGATCATGAGACTTTGTCAATTCATTGAATGTCTGGACTGATGCAGAAAAGAAGTGATGCAACGCAGCAGGCCAGACGTTTTGAATGATCTGGAACAACTCATAGACTATCAGTAGCATAATTATCATCACGAATTAAAAATTAAGAATCTCTTGTTTCTCCATGTTTTTTTAGTTGTATCCATATTTTTAGCGTTCCCTGCATCCCAACTATCTTTGAGATGGCTTCTGAGGGCCCCGTAGATGGCATTCAAGCGGTAGTTGGGGTTCCATTTCTTTCGATTTTGGTACTGCTAATCTTTCGTTGAGTCCTCTCATATCCTTGACCGTGTAGGTGAACTCCACTCTGGTCACATTCTTGAAATGCGGCACACCACTTGACTCCTTTTGTCCTAACATCACATCTATCCATCGCATTGCATTGGTGCTAAAACCTACGATACATCAACTTGATGGTTCTCTAGAGCAGGGGTCACCAATCCATTTTTCACACCGGGCCGGATAACTGACAAAAGGATTAGCGTGGGCCGCACAATCATTATGCACGATACTTACGGGTCAGAATGAATACTCTGGGGAAAAGTCAAAAATTCTTGAGACTCAGGGTTTGGTTTTCTTTCCATATTAGACTTAGTGAAGGCTGAACTAAAGTGGATCTGAACAAGGGAAAGATATTATAGTATAAAGAATAAAAATCCTATGAAACAGCAAAGGCAGAGAATTAAGTATGATCGGTGGAACTACGAATCACTAGAGTCTCACGAAATGTTCATTGGTATTTTCGGTAATAAAACATACAACAAGAGAAAGTTCGCAGTATATATATATATATATAATCTTTAAACTTTATCTTCTTAATCTGGATTGAATGTATTCCACCAACTTTGATTGGCTCAGTTCTGTTATTCAATTGCATATTACGTGTCCATTTCGTGTGCTTCTTTTCTTACAAATTATGTGTTTATTGTTTGATATTCTCCGTGTAACTGCGCTTCATGTGAATGTTTACAAGTTGCCTACCTGTCTAACACCCACCTCGACTATACTGGCTTCAGTAGACTGTGAATCATTGCTTGGTGATACGGGGTGCATGGTCTTCTTGGCCGTGTTAGGCTCAAAGAGTGGCTCCATCCACTGTGCAACGGATTGCGCCCAGCCACCGCATGGCCTAAGTCTGGTACGCATGATTCCCCACATATATAGACAGGAATACTGCTGCTGTGCATATTGGAGGAGTGTTGGCCGGCTCCGTTGATGAAACGTGCCTCCCATCCACATGCATCCCGGTCTCATTCCTTCGGTGTTTACACTGGATATGGGGGTATGTGGATGAAGCTGCAGGTAGTGCAGCTCAGGCCACCCATGATCCCTGAGTAGACGCATGCTTTCTGTGGCTTCTCCACGATGATCGCAGTACCAGGCAAATTCGGAATCGGATACCGCCAAACATATGGTTGGCGGCATCCGGTTTCGGATTTGCCTGTCACTGTGGCAAGCCACAGGACGCCTGCGCCTACAGAGGGACCATGGATGGCTTGCGCTGCACCACCCACAGCTCCCACCACATACCCCATATCCAGTGTAAACCCGAAGGAATAAGACCGGGAGGCATGCGGATGGGAACCACGTTTCATCAACGGAGCCGGCCCACACTCCTTCACAGGCAAACACAAGCACGCTGTATTTGGGGAATCAAGGGCACACAAGGCGGTGGCTGGACCGTAGTCCGCTCCACACTGAGTGCATGGGACCGCTCTTTGAGCCTAGCACGGCCACGAGAACCGTGCACCCGGTCCCCTCCAGAAACGACCAACTGTCTTCTGGAGCCAGTATGAACGATGTAGTGGGTAATAGACAGGTAGGCACCTTGTCAACATACACATCAAGCGCAACCATACCAGGGATATCAAACAACAGCTATTCACTTTAAACGACAAGCTGAAATAAAATAAATCCAATAATGCATACAGATACGGTGGCATAACTCTTCGCTAATTTACCATATGAAGTAAGTGCGTTAACAACAAATCCGTGATAAGTAAGAAATGTCCACAAGTTACTTAAAAATGCTACAAACTCAACAAAATTACCGAAGATAAGCGCAGTTAGTGTAAGCAACGTGGCCAGTTAATAGAACATTATATATATATATATATATATATATATATATATATATATATATATATATATATATATATATATATACGAGGGTCATTCAATAAATAAGGTGAATTTTTCCGTATAAGGACTTCTAATACAGATAGAAGCTTACTTTTTATTTTTGTTGTTTTACTTCTTTTTCACATGGATGTAATTTCTTTTGCGGATTGAAAAAAACTGAGAGTTTTAGCGATTAACAAAGATGGTCGACCAAGAAGCATGCTCCAGGATTGAACAGCGGCCAGTTATCAAGTTTTTGGTTGCTGAAGAGTCAAACCAGTTGAAATTCATAGGAGAATGTCAACTGTGTATGGTGTCACATGTTTCAGCCGAAAAAATGTCTACAAGTGGGCAAAATTGTTTAAAGAAGGACGGAGCAGTGCTGAGGATGAAGACATGTTTGGGAGGCCTACAGAAGTGAGGTCTCCTGAGGTGATCGAATCAGTCAATCATCTCATTCAGTCGGACAGAAGGGTGACAGTGGATGACATTACAAGGACTTTAAGCTTATCTGTTGTGAAAGCACACAAAGTTGTCCATGATGACCTTGGCTACTCGCAGGTCAGCTGCCGTTGGATGCCAAAGATGCTTACTGCAGAGCACAAACATAGGAGGATCGAGTTGTGCCAGCAGTGTCTCTGCCGCAATGAGAAGGATGGTGATGAGTTTCTGAAGAAGGTGGTTACATGTGACCAGACATGGGTTTGCTAATATGAGCCTGAGTCCAAACAGCAGTCCATAGAGTAGAAACACAGGCTCTCCAGTGAAGAAGAGATTCAAGTCCCAACGGTCCACGAGGAAAGTGATGCTCAACGTTTTTTGGGAAATGCAAGGCCCAATCACCATTTCATTCCTTGAGAAAGGAAACACTGTGAACGGTGACAACTACTGTGAACTACTGAGGCAGGTCAAGAAAGACATAAAGAACAAACGCAGGGGTCATCAGTTAGAAGGAGTCATCTCGCATCATGACAACGCAAGGCCTCACACACCAGCCCGAACGATGCAGACTATCAACGAGCTGGCCTGGGAGCTGCTCCCTCATCCCCATTACAGCCCAGAACTTGACCCTTCAGACTTTCACCTGTTTGGTCCCTTGAAAGCGTTCACGAGAGGCACGAAGTTTGAAAATGACCATTAAGTCAAAAGTGTTGTGAGCCACTGGCTGAGACATCAGTCCAAAGATTTTAACGCTGAGGGAATACGGAAGCTTGTGCACAGATGGGAAAAGTGTGTGACATTGCCGGGAGACTACGTTGAAAAATAAAAAAGTAAGCTTCTATCTGTAATAGAAGTCCTTATACCGAAAAATTCACCTTATTTATTGAATGACCCTCATATATATATATATATATATATATATATATATATATATATATATATATATATATATATATATATATATATATATATATATATATATATAGTTTGTGAGATTTGCTTGGTCTCGGGCATCTATTAAGTTGATTGAACGGAATATATGTCAGCTTATTCTTGCAGTGCTGTTATATCTATAGTTGACAAAGTAAATAGTAATGTTCCATCAAAAAGGTCAGCGGATGGACGCTTGGAAATCTCGTGGGCAATTTTTCCCCAGAGCCACATGAACAATCAGTGCTAGATGAGGATATCTATGCTAATTACATTCGTTTTGCGATACCTTAATGTACGATCCTCAACAATCAGCGCTTCCAACCCAATTCCGCAATGGCAACTTGCACTTCATCAACTACCTGTAAATACAACTCGAAATTACACGTACTAAACTGATGGCGCCCTATAGGCTACTCACGAGTAATATAAAAATTAATGGTGGAGGTTTGTTATTTTTTCCCACCTTTAGATTTACTCATTAAGTGGCTTGGTCATATTTTACAAGATAATGGAATTGTGTTGTTCGAATTTTTCAATGATCCCAATGGAGTATTAGCAGTGTTCTATGATTTAAAAGTAGTTGGATCTGGAGAGTTTGACAGTAAGGAAAAATGCAGACGTAGCCTTCAGTTCAAGTAAATACGGCCATCTATGGTACTCCTGGGGGCGTGCTTCCATGCAGGGTAATCCCTCAGTTTTATCTGCACTTCAACGTCTCATCTGGCCATGTGTGGACGTGGCTTACAACAAGCAAGTCATCATCATTCGGACTGCTTTTTTGACTTTTGTGATATGCACTGGTTGTTATGTGACTCCTGCTTCAGATTAAAATTGCTACACAGTAGCGTGAGGTAAACAGAAACACAGTAGGGTGCAGGGATGATTGGGTTTCATGCGTAATCACTCACATTAATGTTCCAGCAATATGGGATCACTTAGTACGATGTCAGTTGTAACCACCGTGAGCTGGCTAAAGCTAGTGTTCGAACATTGCATGGTCACGGACAACGTTTGTGCAATGTCAAAGATAAATTGTATCATGTTCCATGCGTTTTGCCAAACAAAGTCAGATACAGCCGGCTGACTGGACGCGGTCCACGGACTGTAGTTTGGTGACCCCGAGTCTGGGGCATGCAGTCGACCAAATCTAATTGTGGAAGGTGTAAAAGCTTGGCGTATTACATGAACACCCTATCGACTAAGTCCCTGTAAACGCTTTACCCTTTGATGAGAGAAAAAGTATCAGTAGTACGCCATTACCTCATGTTAACTCCTCGATGCCATGCGACTTCTTGTGGCTGTATGAGAGTTTCGGTTCTCTCCATACGCTCACTTGCGTACCCGGGGTAGGGATCGAAGACACCAAGTACAAGCAGAGGCTCCGAACTAAACGCTTGAGCAATCATGGTTGTTATCGATTCATGTCTTCTAGTGTAAGCTATATTGGCAGATGTACACAGCTATATCACCTTACAAACTTCCGCCACAGTTGGACTTTTTTTACTGCCGTTGCTTGTAGAGCACGAACTGTGATATCGTGATGCCTTCATCTTCCTCTTTTCTGCTGATCGGAGGTATCCCAATGATTAATTATCATTCACCTTCTCCTAACCCACATCGAGTTTTTGCATTTTCACATATACTGATTCGTCTCATCTCCGGTATTGCGGACACGAGAAGAATGATTAACGAGGCTTGCGGAGCCAAGCGAAATGCGTTTGAAATATCCAACCCTCGGCGCGATTTTCCTGGCGACTACTTGCAGCAATTCTACACGGATCTTTTAGTATCTCTTCTACTGCACCAGGAAACTATTTTCGACGTGGCTCCCGATCGGTTACATCGTACTCTTTACGAACACATGAATGTCTTTGTTCACTGCGGTTGAGTCACGTGAACACCGGTGGGATACGTCTGAGCACATTGTGTAATCTGTCACTGCCTTTGTGCACCGTGTTTAGATTCTCCTCCAGGAATTGTCCCCTTTAGGTTTCTGTTGCCTGCACTTACATGACTAGTCACATGTAAGCTTGGATGATGTGCAAAATGATTTTGAGCTAGATGGGTGCGTTGATAGACTTGGTTCCCTGGTGTCACACGGCACCATATGTCTACTCTTGGCAAGCTCACTTGCATGTTGTATTAGTCATTTGCGGGGGGGGGAGGGTTACCACGTCTATGTTGTCCGCTTCGTACGTCGCTTGGCGTTCGCCGCTGGAGTTATGCATCTCGCTTTCTACTCATGCTAATCTATATTACTATTGCGGCTGAGGATCTGTACTCCGTCATACATTTGAGTTCGTGATTTATCCCCACCAATGTACTGCGTGTGACCTGCTGTGTAACGTATTCGTATTCCTTGGACCACAAACTTAGCCCTGAAGGAGAAGTGGCGGTACACTAATACGGTTCACGTGTGTCTGAATCGAACATTCATTTTTCTCTTTCACATGGAGTGTTAAACTCACAACGTATGGTAGCAATCCCATTGCAAACAAACAGTTAGGGCACCATCGGTTTGGAAGCGAGTGCTGTTTTTAGGCTCTCGTTGTACGACCTGACAAGCTCCATGGCTTTCTTCGCCCACTCGGTGTGATCCGTTTCCGCACGCTTGTTGGCAATGGACTCCATCAGGCTAAAGTTGATTTGCTCGTGTTGAGCCCAACGGCGTTCGAGATTCGACAGTTGCAGATGGGTTTCATCATTCGCCAAAGTCGCTTGTAAATTGGCATATTCTTTGGCCAGCTGTTGATTCATCCGATGTAAGCTTTCGCGATGGGATTCCATGCGTTCCTTTTCTTTTGTCACCTGTTTAAAATGGGAAGGAACGTGTTTTGGCGTTTTGTCAAAGCGTGTTTCTCAGTTATCAGTGCAACAATTACCTCTACCTTCATATCAACAACCTGAGCATCAATCAGATGATCTTTGTAAGGAGTACACGAACTATCGACAAAGCGTAGCTTGACTTATTTATCGTTGCAACTACATCGAACTCATCGCAACTTAGATAACTGGACGGCAGGAGTCCTTGTTGGAGAAGAGAAAACACTATGAGTGGTGTATGTTTTCCAGCCACTCATTTGTTCAATTAATTAAATGCAGTTACTCAGTGGAATATTTTTTTCCTTGGGACCTTATCCCAAACTACAACCTGTGGTCAGGTTTGCACTTCATTGTCTTTGGTACCTTACACTCAACAAGGAAATCCTACGATCACCATCTACCGTGCAATGTCGAAGATAGATTTGGTACCAGCTCTGTCTGAGTTACTCATAGAGCTCGTATGAATCTCGGGGCGTCTGTAGCTAGTTGGGAACCACTCCACAACTCGTTTTATAGAATATTCTCTTGGTATCATTTTCATAATTTGAAGCAAATTGCTGGTGTGCTATTGTTGAGGTTGACTTCGTTCCGTAGCTGTCGATCGATTAGGAGGACATTGTCCTGCGTCGTTTTTCCGATCTCATCGTTTCCATTGCGTGTGTGTTCTTCGGCATGCTACTCCCCCTCCGCCGACAATTGGCCTGATTCTATGTACACGTATAGGACCGCCACTTACTTTTTACAGCTCTGCTGTAAACCCTTACACTCGAGCCGTTTCTTTCAAGCTGACCCCACCTAGTTGGTTTTGGAGTACTCCGCGTGTGTATAGATTGCGACGCACCTAAGCTTGCCCTCCATATGCGTTGCGTAATTCAAAACTTCATTGGAAACTTGTTGAGCAAACCAGCTGGTGGCCACAACTGGAGTCTTGCGAATTCATGTTATGCGCCTTGTGTGCTAGCGCAGGTGTGCTACCGTTTACATGGCACATGATGCGCGTCATCGATAAACTTAGACCGCACATAAAGACTTGACCATGTTTCGTTACGTGGTAGACGTTGGTTACCGATTGACAAGCCTGGCTGGCTGAACACGGAAAAATCCTGACTACGTACCTACCCGGTCAGTGCCACCATGTCTTGCTGGCTCCTGGAGATCATAATCTACTGTTTGTGCGGATGGGGGGCACCTTTTCCCAGCGGTCTCGTCCTGGCACAGGCTGTCATTCGGTCCTCCTCTTGCTTGCTTCCTTCACACAAGCCTCTCCAGTGTTTACATCAGCGAGTGGTCAACATACACCGATCCTGCGTGAGTCAGATGTCCCTCGGATGCATGTGCACATTCTTGGTGTAGATCGCATCTGCATTTCCTGGACAATATCATGGCTCCAGAGTAATGTTTTGTGGATTCCCCTATTGATATATGTTGCGTTGTTGGATTGCAGCCCTGCTCCAATCCAGACGCGGCTCCTACTCTTTAGCCCTGCGGTTTAAGGTTGGTCTAGAATTTAGGGATGGTATGGCATAAGGCATCGGGGATTCGTTTGCAGGTCGTTTCAGTCACACAGACGGTGCTAGACAACTCTGGTGTTGACAACCGCTACTATGTTAACCCGCCTACAGTACCTAAGTTCCGTTTGTCATGGTTATATATTTTAATTGTAGGTAACATAGAATAGTCGTTTGTGGAGGTCCGGAATTGAAGTTGATTACAAACGCACCACCCACTAATCATGTTTCACGCGAGACCGACTCTAGGTTGTCTCCCCTGATAAGATAATGTCTTTATCGATAGAATTTTATTTACCTTCATCTGACCAGCTTAAATGTCAGCACGAGTGGTGAATCCTTTCTAGACTGATTTCCAGTTGCATGGCGCCTGGCATTCTTCAAGTAACCGTATACTTTAAGCACCTCGTGCCCCTAGGCGCATTACTGTATGTCTGAGGCAGCACTGAAAGACGAACAATGAGCCGCTGACTAGTTGGAGATAAAGGGCTACATGTCCCTTATTTGAAGCCACTCAGCCATCTGCCCTATCTCTTTATCGTTTCTGCACGTACCTAGTAAGAGGAGCCTCCTAGCCGTTTACAAGTACCCGGTTAAGATCAGACAGGCACTCATGGGCAACCTTTCATTACCAAAACACCTTGGTGTTATCCCAAAAATCAAAAAGATGTTAGTTCTTGTCATCTTGATCCGTGTTCATCTGAAAACGGATTATTGCATGGACATGACATGCGCGATATAATCGAAAGAGAAACTGACCGCCTCGCGCTTGAACTTGGCGTCCTCCTTCACACGATCCAGGTCGTCGAACACTTGAATTTCCGCCTCCATTCTAGCGATGCGTTCGCGAAGCGACTCCATTTCCTACCAACAATAAAAGATCGGGAATAAAAGATGATACAGTTCTACCAAACAATGTAAGTTCTCATCCGTTTAATGAAACTTTGGAAATGGTCCGGGTTCCGATGTCCCAATCGCATTGTTCCCCGAAACCCTAGACTATCGTGACGTTTGATGTTTACTTGAACTGGTGGCCCACCCCAAGCTTTGCTTGCCTGGACGAAGGAGTTGATTACCCGTCTACTGATTTATTTTGAATTCTTCTATCTGTCTCCGGTAATTACGTGTCAGTCAGACACAAGATTGCCATGGTTTTTATTTCCGGACGCGTTGCTCAACAATCGAGTACATGCCCATCCTTCATGGGCATCAAACTCCGTGAAACGGACCTCTTACTAACGACAATCTTCCATTGTATTGCGCTTATTTATCTAGTGCGTTCATTGCCTTCGGATGTCCAGTTGCCTTCGCTTGACTGTCTATTTCGGAGTCGCGCTACTTTTAAAGAAGAAGCCCATATATGGACTATTGAGTTCATTTGATTCTCATTGACCTATCTGGTAACCAGTTCTGAGCTAAAATATGTCCGGCCACCTAATGACCGCAAACGCCATCCTTATCATCTTGCTGCGTCAGCAAGTTCTGCTCATCGAGGGGATCTTCCGTGCATACTCACGGCCTCCCTTAGTGACATTGTCCCAAGCAATTTACCGGCTTGGTAGTTGTTATAATTGCGTTGCCACTGTTATAATTGAGGGAACGCCGCCTCTCGATAGGGATTGCGTAATTGCCTGATAAGATTGTCGCTGGCCCGATTGGAGCACGCCTACGATAATTGCTTGTAACGCTGGCCAATCGAACGGAGTTGCGCTGACCTGATGACGCTAGCTTAGCCGGGTGAGACGGAAAATTGAGCGAGCGTGTGACCGATCCTAGCCGCAAATGTTCGGATGGACGCTGACCCCTCGGAACGGGCGCACACGAGAGGGGGGTACGATAGACGCTCGCTAATGACTTAGGCGCGAAGGCTGGCCAGCTAACGACTCACACGCAATTACGTGACCCGACCGACTCCCAACTGAGGCGAAGAGAAAGAAAAGGCAAATGGTCCTCTGTAGGCTCTTTTACGACCGACAAAGGGCGATCACAGACAGTGCTATGGGTTATTAAGTTAAGGAAAACTGTCACCACGAAGAGGGGGTAGTTTGTAAATGACCATTGTCAGAAGGTGCGCAGTTTGGGCCGCGTCTCGGAGTGGCTGAGCTCTGCTGCGTTGTGGGGAGGAATTGGACCTCGGTTTCCACAGCCATTCTGCCGGGGTTTCTGGCGTGTTTTTGCGGGAATATTTGACGTACCCGCAACAGTAGTGCACCCAGTGAATGTGCCAATGCGATACTCGAAGCTCGAGCCCAATGCCTTACCAAGTCATGTAGTGTGTAGGCTGCTATGATGAACATTTAATCTTGGGAATCCATTGGGGTGTTGATGACCCGCCATTGCCAACTCGCGTTTGAAAGCCCGGTAAGTGCCATTAGCATTGTTGCGAAATCAAAGTTCGAAAATTAGCTGGGTCGTACCAGCAGCTCACAAGCGCGACAATTTAGGTACCAATCCGGAAAACACCAGCTGACCGTTTCGCTCTAATGAGGCTCGTCAGTGGTGTGCATTCCCTAGTGCCCCTTCAGAGAACCGAACCCGTGAGCACTATCAATTTGCGCCAAATAGCCAGTAGGTTCTGCCACTTAATAGCTAGGTAGTACACACAGTGAATGAATCAATGCGGTGCTGGACGCCCGAGACCGGCTCCTTCCCATGTCATGTGATGCGTGGGTTGCCTTGACGAACATTCGCTCTGGAGAGTCCTTTGGATTAGTGTTGCTTCGTCACTGCCAACTTGCACTTTCAAGCCTGACCAATGCCGTTAGCGTTGTTAGGAGTCCAATGCTGGGTCCGGTTGTAATGATTCATTCGCTAGTATAAACCGACCGCAATCGCGATGACATTCAGCAGCACTTCAGTTTGGCCCAGTAGTTCTTCGCTGCCATGCAACTTTGTTTAATGAAAAGCCACTGCTCGGGAGTACTCGCAGGAGCGAACTGATGGGCATCGGTCGTTGCTCATAATTTGGAAATGACACTCACTCACAAGCAGTTGGGAAATGTTGGTCTAGTTAGGTGGAGAATTTCGAAGCTGCTCTCTCCCAATACCGCACTCCACAATCGGTTTCGTCCTGGTTTGGGCTCTTCAGGTAGAGATAATCCGATCCTGGCCCGACTGGGGTCACTACCCAACGTTGTCACTAACCTACACTTTTACGATCAATCACGGTGTGTTCGAAAATGTCCGAGAAAATGCACAGAAAATTAATGAGTTGCCATTGACAAATACAACACCCTCATTATTCGAAATAATCCAAGTTGTATACAACGAGTATTTCTGTTCGAATGTGTGTTCGTACATCTGTGTCACAGTTCAAACGTATAGTAGATGATTCAAAAGCTAACTTTTACCTCCCGCTTTGGTAGGCATCTGGTATTCGTCAACTACCAAGAATTATTTGAGTGTCAATTTCATACGAATGAAAACAATGCGTATGGGGAATTCATGGTAGCTGAGCGTCGGATCGGCCAATTTTTTGAAAATCGGTTTGAGGTTACATAGGTGACAAAGCTGAAACTACCGCCATGACAAAACAAATTTGCAGATCGCAACGAGAGGAAAATGAGCGGATTGGCAGTCTCAGTCCCAAAGTTCAGTGACTGACCAACGAAATTCTTTTGTGCTTTTATTGCAGGCCTTGGGATCTACATCAGTCGGTGAGGGAACGCCATACGTCGTTTCTGAAAACTTTAGTATCAAAAAGCACTCAGCTCCCTCTGAGCCACACACCTCGTCAACATGAGCCAGACCACTAAGTTGGTACAAATCGCCGTTTTAGAGCGGGAATTTTTTATATTGCAGTGTTGTTGTTTATATTGCAGTGTTCCACCAATATGCCTCGCGAAAATTCTGATTCGAATATGAGACGAAAATGAAATAGATTCCGTTATATAAGCACATGTGCCTCTACATTGCTATATAAGTCATTTCATACTAGTTTATTGCGTTGCTACATGAACTAAAGTTCAATATGTGTATAACTAGGATAACTTAAGCTGATGTGTGTGGGAGCAATGTAGTGCTCTTCGGCACCATATGCAAATGCTAAAAGCAGAAGATTCTGATAAAAGAGATGTGCGCGTATGGTTTCACATAACCTAGCAAGCATATATGTTGCGTTCCGATGACCAACCTTTGCAAATTACGGCCCAACACAACGTAGGTAATGGTGTATCAAACCCAAGGAATCGTCTGGTATAACGAAATATTGGGATCTCAGCAATTAGGTGGAAACTTAGTGCAGTACATTGCTGGTTATATACTAGAGAAAAGTCAACGGCGTTTGCACACTAGTGACTACATACCAAACGTTTCCTTACAGGTCTTTTAGCTCGCCAGTTGGTGGAATGCTATTATACCTGAGCTTCACTCAGCATTATGATGGGATATCGGCATCTACATTATAATGTCCAAAAGCTCTGGTACAGCAGTATTTTTTAGAATTCCGTAATTAATCTTGTAACGATTCAGTGTTCTTGGCTCGATCAAAGACTGTCTTCATTTCACGCGTCAGGTCCAGTGATTAGAATAGTAGATCAGAGCGCTATCCCACTAAATTGCCTGACACGTTCAAAGTCACTCATACAACACCTGAATGTCGATCAAGTAAGTCCATAGTTAAATATTAGAGCCACGGTCTACAGAAATCCGGTCGTAGGAACCAGTGTTGACCTAATCGTGGAATCACATGCAAGCTTCAGTAATTATCAGCGTCCCTTTAAAACAGGGGTGTAGAACACCGGCCCTTAGTATGTGTCCACACATCTTAACCAAACATATATAATTGTGCAATGATGACCGGAAAGCACCGAATGCTCGCACTGACCGTTACTACAAACTTGGTTCACTGGATCTTGGTAAACAAAGTCCAGCTGTTGGACAGTGGGATTCCATAGCGCTGAAGTATTCTCTCCTAGATAGGGGATCACGGATTACCATTTCCCATTTGTATATCTACTAACTCATGTCTACTTTCATTCATTCCAATGTGAGTGAACTGACCAATACCCTTGCATAGTAATATTGCTTCAACAGTTACCTGAGTCACTTTGGCCTCTAACTGTTCCACTTTGACAATGTCCTGACTCAAACGGGTGTATTCTTTTTGCAGCGCTGCCTCGGTATCCTTGGCTTTGGAGACCTCAGAAGTTTTGAAATTCAACTGTTCGCGCAATTGGTCCACCGGGTTATCCGTATCGCTTACTGCAGACTTCAGAGCTGCGACTACCGATGGAGACGTTTGTTTAATATTCATGAGATGCCTTGAGGTTGACTCCAGGAGCCCCACGATGTTTGCTTGCAGCTCTGCAATGTTGGACTGTTCTAGTGCCTATGGGAAATTTAGAATCAACGAACTATGGTTTATGATAGGTAAAAAAGCATGTGCTTGATACATTTCGTAGGATGGTTGGAGTGAAAATTAAGATTAAAAGAATCAACGAATAAATAAATCGGCATTTTAAGCGTCTACCCATTTAACTGCACTACAGCATAACGATAATTTGAAAGGGGAATGGATTGTGCACACACAAATAGTGGGGAGAGCAGTTGCAGTGCACGTACTCCGTGAGAAATGAAAAACGGAAATGACAACGCTCACTCATGTGCCGTTTCATTTGACCGATGTGATAAGTTAATCCAATTTCGGCACAGCCACGCTACTCACAAGGACACCTATGCATGTATCTTCATCGCCACGTTGCGGAGTGGGCTGCTAACCACATAGTTTGGCTTGCGTTATTTCGTCCTGCGAGTGAAACGTGCTATATAAAGTAATGCAAGTGGGAAAGTGTGTCATCATGACGTTTTTCGAACAGCGTTACTGGAATGGCATGGATGACGTGAGTTGGAAGGGCGTTCCATGTTCGGGACACCTGGAGGGAGAAAAGGTTTTGTCGACATACCAGTCGATTGTAGCACATGGCCAGTTTGAACTGGTGGCCTCTCAGTGTTGCGTATGTTTGTTCAGCTAAAACAGGCTGTGACAAAGGTGATTGGGTTTGTCATTATTAAGTAATCCATGATGACGGCTGCTCGCTGACATCGATATTCACCACTGTACAATCCCAGGAAGATATCAGCATTACGCCGGTACGTAGTACCGACACTTCGCTGCCGCGCGCCGCCACCAGCGGTTGCACGTGGGCTACGGATACTGCGAGGGTCGCCCTGCCCCTACGCAGGCACGAACTTGCGCCGTCAGATTACAAGACAAGCTTGTTGTTTTTAGGTTACTGGCCGGCGTACAACTTCAGGGCCTACCGTATGCGCTGGTAGGGGGTGAAACAATTCTCTAACATGTTTGGTCGCTCTATATTAGGGAGCTTCAATTTCATCAATGTCCTGCTTGCACCAGCGACGCCACGTCTACATCGCGTATTCCACGTGGGGTCTCACGTAGGCGTTCAGCATTTGCGAAAGATTAATGGACCGAGATTTCCGAAAGCCCTCCTTAAGAGTCCAAGGTGTTGACTGGCTCTTCTCAATGCCTTTTCAGCTTGTCTTGGGCAGACAAAATCGTCCTGCACGATCACCCCCATGCAGCTTTCCTGGGAAACTCGTTGCGACTGCTGGTCCCCAGACCGATATTCATGAGCAAGCTGAAGACCTATGCTTACGACTTTACATTTCGTCACGTTGAACTGGAGTCGGTTTTTGGATGACCGCGTATAGGCCCTGTCAAGATCGCTCCGCAGTCCCGTATGGTGGTTCACTGTCTTGATATTATGCTAGGTTTTGACATCGTCTGAAAACAGTAAGCAGTTTGACCGGAGTACACTAGCAAGCTCGTTAATAACCACTAGGAATACGCGTGACTCCAGTACGCATTTTTGTGGCACCCCCACTGGACATCAATTGGGTCAAAAATGGAGCTGCGGACTTTCACATTCAGCTGACGTTGAATGAGGAAGTTGCTTGTCCAACCCAGCACAGGGTCACCGACTCCATACTTTCGAAGCTTGTGAAGGAGAATGCTATGGTCCAGGCGATCGAACTCTTTGGAGAAATGCAGACAGATGACGTCGACTCCTAATCTGGTATCGACTTATTCAGTCCAGCTTTTTCGGGCTAGGCGTAAGTTTGTAGTGCAAGACCGATTTCGGCGGAACTCATGCTGCTGTGACACTATGCTGTTGTTGCTCCCAAGGTATCACATGAGCGCCTCTGCAATAATACCTTTCATTACTTTGGGTAACACTGGGAAGAGGGTGATTGGACGGTAGTTCAAGGGCTCCTCACGATTCGCACTCTTGTAAATAGGAGTGAGTGTTCCATGCTTCCACGTTGTGAGAACCTGGATTTCAGCAAGACATCGTTGAAAGAACCAAGTTACGGTTTCTGCAATGTCCATGGCGACTGTCTTCAATGCCTTTGGTCTGATATCGTCTACGCCAGTAGAGCTGCGCACGCGCAGTGGCAATAGTCTTTTCACGACATTTGCTGCCGTGAACAATACGGGGTTTAACCCTGTTGGCGGTAGGAACAGTATCAAAATCGGGTGAGATGATGATTCACTCTGGAAAGTGTGGATGAAGTGTTGGCGAAGCGCGTTGGCCGCCTCTTTTGTAATTTGCGCTAGATCATCTGTTGTGCGTAGAACTGGGATCCCCGACTGCACTCTGCGGAGCTTGTTGACATGCCTATACAGCAATTTAGGAGTAGTACTCAACTTTCGCCGCTAATTTCTGTTGGTGCCGGAGTTTGTATTCGCGGATCAACTTGACACTTTGGTTACCTTGAGTTGTGTAAGCATCCCAGGTCTTATTTTGAGGCTTACTTTGAAGTACACGTTGTATGGATGGATTGCAATACGCAACCTCAGTGTTGCCCACGATTCCCATTGTAATGAACCTTGGTCTTTCGATCACGAGGAGAGTAGCCGAAGCAGATAGAGATTGGGTGATGCTCACCCGAAAACACTGCACTCCTATTACGCGTTTCCATCACATCAAATAGTGGTAATAAGTATTGAACCCGGGACCATTGGGATGTTAGTTGTGACCGCTATCCCTAAGCCACCGGGTCATGACGGGAAACGCTTGGCACAACGGTTTATGATCGAATTTGTGGGTCCTTTTGAGGTTACATGTCGCAATCCATCCACACAACGTGTACTTCAAAAAATGACCCTCAAAAGCAATCATTAACCGTTGTGTCAAGCGTTTCCCGTCGTAACCCGATGGCTTGGGGATAGCGGTCACAACTAACATCCAATAGTTCCGGGTTCGATGCATGCTTCTCTCTCTCTCTCTCTGATGAGATCAAATGAGATCGAAACGCGTCATAGAGAAGTGCAGCGTTTTCGGGCAGGTAACACCCAATTTCTATCTCCATCCCAGGTCTGATTACTCAGGCAGATGTAAGCGTGCCAGGCGGAATCCCTTAAGGACATGCGTTTTCTAGTACAGCTCCTCAGTAAAGACTTCATTTGCCTCGGGCGAAAGATCTTACTTTCCGATTCATTTGCCAGTAGCCGGATGAATTGGGTGGTAAACACCATCCAGGCGACATCGGGCGGCTGTTCGGCTAAGAAGGATCAGTCGGTTTCTTGAACGAGGTCGAACAGGACACCATAATGAGTGACCAGGTAGGTTTCGTCGTTGTTCCTACCGATGTACTCCACGCAGCAGATGTAAGGAAAGAGTAACACCGCATGATCGGTAAGATCAAGTGGTATATCTATGATCGCGGTGTCGACTATTAGTTCCTCATTGGTGAGCACAAGGTCCAAAACAGATGGTGCGTCAGTTGTTCTGAATCGAGTGGGAGAGGTGGCATGTTTGTACAGAGGTCCATCGGAGATTACCTCTTGCAACTTAATCTTGAATTATTCTCTGAGCGATGCTGAGACTTCGATTGCGGGAAGGTTAAAGTCCCCCACCAGCAGGACGTGACTGTGCGGTTGTTCCAGGACTCACTTCATCGCCGAAGCTAGGCAGTTATCCATTTCCAAAGTGGACATTGGAGGGCGATAAACTATTGCTAGTAAACACACATCATCACGTCTTAGGTGCATACGACATTAAATATAATCGACAACTTGCGTTTCTGGATCGTCGATGTTGCCAACATGCAGGTCGTATCGGTTATACAGAAGCTCTCCGCCTCTTCTGCTAGTTCGATCGTTTCCTAGGGAAGTCATGCCGGGTAGAGCGACTCCAGCTCCGGTGATCTCCGTGTTCAGCCATATTTCGTGGACCATGAATATTTCCCAAGACATGGAGACCTGACAAGTACGAAGTTCCGTCAGCTTGCTGATAAGACTATGTGCATTGGTATACAAGCAGTTTAGGGCATCGGTGGTTAGCAGCGTGTTTGTGTAAGCTGATTTCTGGTGGAGGTGTATGCCGACGCTTGGGGGGGGGGGGTTAGCTGCCGGTCACTTTTGTACGCCCGATGACGCAAGCCCTAATGTCATTCCGGGTTGTTTTGTAGAGTACTCAGTGCAGGTAAGAGGATGACCAACCTGTCCTCATTCAGCTGCCGGCAAGTTTTGACATTGTCTCCGTTCTGAGCTGTAGGGTGAAGCGGTTGTACTGGTGAACTGCTTGCTCACGATTTCCTTTTCTATTTGTGGCCGGGTGTCTATCGCCTTTAAACATATTTCGGAAGGCAGCATTTTACGCATGTTGTACCACATTTCAGTCACTTTTTCTGCCATCGGTTGGGCATGTATGGTTAGTTTCATCATCTGCGGACCACCCACTTAGTAGTTAGGTGACCGCGGTAACCTTGATGTCTAATTCGCCATGACGTTCTCGATTAACATCACTTCAAGGATAAAACGCCGTTCATCCCATCTATGCGTTTTGACCTCTAGCTTCCTTAATGCTGGAGATCGTGGATAAGGATCGATTTTACGTCTTTTTGTTTACCTAAGTCATCCGGATTTCTTTTTCGTTTCCGACGTTCGCTCCAAGGCAAATCTGGGAAAATTCGACCAGTGCTTCGGGTGATACGGAGGCGAGTGGCTAACAGGAGAACTACCTCAGCATCCTCAGCTGACTGACGTGTTAACTAGAGTACCCGTGGTTCACCGTAGTGTACGGTGTTTGGGTGACGGATGAGACTCATCATACTGGCCGGCTTAGCTTGTGCCTCTGTTAGTTGACACAGGGAGTCCGGATGTTTCCTGTCGTCTAATAGCTTATCTTTTATGGAGTTCGCCCCGGATTCGATCATATTAGAGCATATGGTTGGCGGCATCCCGTTCCAGATTTGCCTGTCACCGTGGCCTGCATAGGACAGCCACGGGACGCCTGCGCCTACAAAGGGACCACGGGTGGCTTACGCTGCACTACCCACCCCTCCAACCACACACCCCATATC